AGGGGATCTTGTGGGTGGGTCCTCAACAATGGCACCAGCTGGTGGCTCTGTGGCTCTGTCAGGTGAGGGTCAGAAAGGGGAGAATGTCCTCTGCCAGCTCTTCTGTCTGGGAGAAAGCTGACTCCTAGTTACTGCTTTAATGCCGGACACAACAATTCCAACCTGTATGCCACTATTGCCTTTTAAGGGGCACCCTGGTGCAGGAGGTCAGAGGGAGTGAGTTTGAGGAAGTTTCTGTGTGGGTTCTCTAAGGTCACCTGCTTGGGACTGTAGGAGTTTCTTTTTGTGATGCAGTCCCTGGTGCTTTTTTTGCAGCCAGAAGCGATGGGAACTTATCTTTCTGTCTCTGCGACTCTGGCCTGGGGAGCCTGGTTGTTGGGCTGGGACTCCTTGCTCCTTTGATATCCCTCCTGAACTCCTATCCACCAAATGTGGATGAGGGTTCAGCCCATTCCACGTCTGTGCCCCTCCTATCAGTCTGGATGGATGTGGGTCCTTTAATTCTGTAGTTGTCAAACTTCCATTCAAGTTGATTTCTCATGGTTCTGACCAATGCTGGTTCCATTTTTTAGTTGGAAGTTGAATGTGGAGGCAAGCCATGTTTCTCTATGCCTCAATCTGGACCTGACATTATTATTATTCATGTTTTACATCTTCTTTCACTCCTCTCCTTCTTAAAGAAAACCCTCTAACATTTTTTTTAATCTTCACCCGAGGACATGCTTATTGATTTTAGAGAGGGGAAAGGAGGGAGCCAGAGAGAGAGAAACATTGATGTGGAAACATCAATCAGTTGTCTCTCATACATGCTCTGACTGGGGACCAAACCCACCACCTAGCCAGGTGCCCTAACTGCAAGTGAACCAGTGACGTTTCATGTTACAGGAAGACACTCCAATTACTGAGCCAATACCAGTCAGGGCAGCATATCCTGCAATACTGGTTGGACACTGATGAGCTCCCTTAGCTCTTTCTTGTCTGTGAAGCTCTTTATCTGTCCTCTGATTCTAAATGATAGCTTTGCTGGGTAAGGTAATCTTGGTTGTAGGTCCTTGCTTTTCATCACTTTGACTATTTCTTGATAACCACTTCCACACTGCAATGTTTCTGTTAAGAAATGAGCTGAGTGTCTTATGGGTGCTCCCCATAAGTAGTAGGTAAGTAATTGCTTTTATCTTATTGCTCCTAAAATTCTGTCTTTGCCTTTAGTCTTTGGCTTTTTAATTATGATATTTCTTAGGGTGGGCCTCTTTGGGTTTACTTTGTTTGGGACTCTGCGCTTCCTGGACATGTATGTCTATTTTCTTTACCAGCTTGGGGATGTTTTCCAGTATTATTTTTTCAAAGAGGTTTTCAGCTCTGCACACTCTTTTCTCCTTCCCAGCAGCCCATGATGTGAATAGTTGTATGCTTGAAGTTGTCCCAGAGTCTTCTTAAACTGTCTTCATGTTTTTGGATTCTGTTTTCTTCTTTGCTGTAGTGATTGTGTGTTTTCTGCTATCTTCTCTTCCAAATCACTGACTCAGTTCCCTGTGAGGAACCGTATTTTGACACGCTCTGCAGGCATGGTTGGAGACAGAAGAGACTGCTTCCAGCTCAGGATCACACAGGACAGGAGGACAGGGGAGCAGTGCTTTAGATGCCAAATGGACAATAATGGCATCATCTCTAAGGAAAAAGTCTGAATCCACAAGAGTTTAATGGAGATCCTGAAATCCTGATGCCTGGCCCTCTGGACTTGTGGGATTGATCCCCAGCTTTTTCTAGAAAGGCCAGAATATGGGACCTTTCCTGCACTTGGATTCTTCCCCTACCCAACATTCTCATTAATGTTCATATCCCTCTAAGGAAATTAGGTGTGGGCAAGCTAAGTGCTTGGAGTTTGCCAGGAAGGTGGCAGGAAGTGATTTAGAACTTCAGGGCAAAGTACAGCAGTTGTCAGCTTCAGTGGCTGGTGGTCTGTCATCACCCGGAGCCCACTGAAGAGTCTCACTGGGCTTGGAGTCAGCAGGTCTGAGCCCCTCACCTGCTTTGTTTCTCTGTGCTCTCTGTGACCTCACCTGGAAGATGAGGGGTCATAGTGGCAGTCACTAACACGCCTTCCTGTCTTGTCTTGTAATGGTTTGTAACCTCACAGGTGTCAAGGGCTTTATTAAAGCTTATCAAGTTGCTGAGCCAGCATGACTACCTCTCCCAGCTAGAGGGAAACTCCGTCATCAACTACATTGCCCAGCTCAGCGAGCCTGACCCCACAGTGAGCAGGGGCTGGGCAGAGAGGGGAAGGAGGATGGGGGCAGGTCTCAGGGGAGGGAAGAAGTGAAAAGCAGGGTTGGAAGCATAAAGACAAGAAGAGGGTAGCCTAGAAACTCTGAAGGGATTTTAGCCTCTAAAACCCTGAGCAGTGAGCCAGGAGAAGCCTTGAACCCAGAGACTTAGCTATCATTAGCTCCAGGTTTAATTTTTCACTTTTCTTATTCCAGAATGAAGAGGATATTCGCATCATCTGTTTAGAAATTCTAGAAATGGTACAAACATCTAGGATCAAACTGACCTCTCCTTTTCCTCTTTCCCTGGCGCCCAGATCACTATCCTGGCCCTCAGACCACAATCTACATGATCCTCCCCACCTCTATCCAATCCCTTGTGCTGTCTCTTCCACCCTCTCCACCTCAGTTTGGTTCCACTCCAGTGCCTGGGTGCCCCTGAGAAGTAGTCACTGCAACAAAAGAGGGCCACGGGGTGGTGGAACTGGAAGCCTGAGCTTCAGTCCTGCCCAGCCAGTTTCTAGCTGTAAAATCTTGAGTATTTTGTTGTCTTAGCTCCAGTGTCTTCTTTTGTAAAAGAGGGGGTGATTATGTTCCCTGCCTGTAATGAGCAACCTCTAGGGATTCCTGGAGGCTCATATGAGCTGATTTGCTTCAGGGAAGAGTAAAGGGCTGTGGGAAGAAAAGAACATAACATTTACTCTCCCTCCCAGTAAGCTCTGCCTCCTGACCATCAGCATGTGTCTGTCCCTGGAAGGTTCCCCAGTGAAGTTGATTACAAGTCATACATTCTGAATTTCAAGAAGCCCCCATCTATCTAATCAAGTCCTGCATAGTGTAATTCTAATCCATACCTTGGCTTTATTTTTACCAGTATGGAGAGGGAAGGAGGGAGGGAAGAAGGGAGGAAGACATGAAGGGCGATGGAGAAAGAATAGAGTGAAAATATGAATGTTAATAGGTTAGGGGGGATGTGTAATAGGCTCAAATGCCCCTCCAGGAAAAAAAAGACAAGGTCATGGAGTTGGAGAACTTACAACTGGGATTGATTTGCGGCCTGGCATTGATATTCTTGCCACATCTTTTCCCAGATACCCTTGTCCAGACTGATCACTTTGGCATGTTACCCCAGTGACATCTCAGTCATCGTGCCCCTGAATAAGGCAGCCACGAGAAATGCTCTTCAGGTCCTCTCCTTGGGCGAGCTTCCCAACCTTAGCAACTTTTACCTCATGCGTAAGTACAACAGCAGTGCCACTTGGGGACAGGTGCTCACTGTGGAAATTCAGGCTGTTGTGAGCATGGAGGGCTGGAGTGGGAGGCTGGCTGAGACACTGCAGGGGTGGTGGGTGCAGGGAAGAGGATCCAGATTTACAGGCGAAGCTATAGGTCCCAAGCCTGGGTCATGATGGGAGGAGTAAGGCAAAGGGTTAAAGCAACAGCTTAAGGCCATTGGGCCCTATGGATGAAAGGGGACACCTCTGGAAGACACAGTTCCTTCTTGCCATTTTTTTTTTTTCATTTTAAAACACTAGAGTTGAGATGTGTGAGCATTGTCAGTCACAAAATAATGAACAGGCAGACATTCCTGACCCTTAGTTCTTCTTTTGCCTTGAGTCTGAGCCATATTCTGGGCTTACTCCATCTCTGACCTCTAATCCTATAGGGAGTCAGGGGTGGAGTTCAGGTGTCTGATCAGCACATTACTTGGTATGTGTATGTTTTGTATGTATTTCATAGGCCAAAATGTAATAGTTTGCTGTTAGGCTGAGTCAAAATATCACAAGCCCCCATGGCATTGACACTGAGGTTCCCTCTCCACTTTGCTCTTCCTCCTCCTCTGAAGTACTGATGGGGAACTGCCAGTGGAGTCTGGAGGCTGAGCATCCTAGAGCAAGTACTGACTCTGTTCTCTTCTTTTATCTTCTCTTTAACTTAGCCATCGAGTTCATCTTACCACATAGACTCCTCACTCAATTTGTGGTAAGTGATGCCGGGATTAATAATACATCTCTGTCCATCCATTCTTCCATCTACCCATCCACTCATCCGTCCATACAATCATTCCACAAAGAGTTGAGTACTGGTCTATTTCAGGCATCATGCTGGATGTGGACTAACTAGATAAGACCTAGGATCATGGGGGCCAATGCCCTTGGAGGAGGGAACTTGGAGCATAGTGTTTGGGTCTGGAGGTGGGGAAGGAGTAGGAGAGGAGAAAGGCCCAGCCTGTCTCTTATGTGGCCTTATCGTGAGCTACTGTCTGGTGAAGTTGGACAAGTCCATATGCCTTTCTGAATCTCTATTTTGAGTTTCTCTATTTTCCCAGACATAATGTGCTAGACAATTTGAACACTTGGAGTTATAAAGGTAGCCTTACCCTTGAGCTGTACAGTCTTAGTGGGAAAACAAGTTTGGGAATAACCATTTATAATCCAGGGTGATCAATGTACTAGTAGACAAATAGACAGGGTGCAATGGGGTCTTCAAAGGACAATGAGCTGGCGTGGGGTCGAGAAGTCAGGACCCCACAGAAGAGGTGATGTATGAAAATCATTGTGGAGGATGTAAGATTGAACAGGTGGAAAAGAAAGCTCCAGCTCTACCATTCTGTTGGTTTGTTCTAATTTACTTAGTACTCTTCCTTTCAAGTCTTTGTCCTGCTTGCTTTTCTTGCACCTCAGCTGTATTCCCAGAAGCCTTATAGGCTAAAGGAGCTGGGTACAAGTTCTCTAAGGCTACTTCACGCCCTGCAACCTGTTATCCATTCCAATGTGGACCAGCTGTGGAACCAGGAGATCCCACAGATGTTGAAGATACTGGAAGGTAAGGGATTGATGAAGAGCAGGGAGGAATGGAGCAGGGACATTGGATGCAGAGTTTCAAGGTGCAGGATGGACCTTCCTTGAAGTAATGGAAACTGAGATCCCCCACTCTGTCCCTCTGAGATGCTGTTGGACACATCTGCTCATTTGGGTGATGCTTGGTACTGAGCAGATACGCAGTCCAGAGTTCTATGGCTTCAGAGTTCCCAGAATGACTCCTGCCCCTTCTTATGGGCAAAGGATCAGAGGAGAGCATGAGTTTTGGAAATGGACAGACCAGTTTTGTTTCCTTGCTCTGACACTGGCCGCCTCTGTCTGACCTTTGGAAAGTCATTCACGTTTGGGAGCCCTGTGAAGTGGGAAAGCAGGTATCCTGTAGGTTCAGTGCTGCAGGGTCTTTGAGTGTTTTTCCCTGTGGCTGGGGCCTTATGGTTGGGTGGATCCCATGCTCTTTCCTGTGTTAGATCACTCTGAGGAGACCCTGAGTCAGAAGGAATGGGAGGAGAGGCTGCTCCAGGTAAGCAGTCCCCAAGAGGCACCTTCACCACTCTTGCCTCCTTTCCCCTCTTCAGGATCCTGAAGGAGGAGAGCCTCATGCCCCCTAGAGATGGAGGCTCAGGGAAGCTCTTTTTGTGGTCCCTTGCCTCCTGGACCCTGCCTCAGTCCCTGACTCTATCCTAATCCTCGACTCACCTTCCACACTCTCAGGACCCTATATCAGGAGAGCAAGGGAAAGGGCCCTAGCTGTGTGTCCTTGGGCCAGTTACCTAGCCTTTGCCTGCCTCAGGTTGTTCATCTGTAAAATGCAAGTTCCTCTCTTCCCCCAGAATTAAATAGGATGACATCAGAGCAGGCCTTGTAAATTGCAAAAGGCCTCACACATGTGACTGGTGTTACCATCACTGTCAAATGTTATCATTCTCCAGTCCTGACAGGTCCCACCATGTAGTTCACCCCACATATACAGACCATGTACATGTACATGATCCCTGTCTCTTTTTCCACATCTACAGACCATGACCCCTGTCTCTTGCTTCTTCTTGACCCTGCTTCTGTGGGGCAGAGAAGCACTGCCACTGTTATTTGTGGTCCTTGTCCCTTCCTCTTCCTCAGTTTTTAAGTCAATCTTTAGTGGCCATCGATGATGACAACTGGCTGCAGCAGCTCACCAGACTCCTCTTGAAGATGATAACTTCCTTCAGTGATGATGAAGACAGAGACAAGAAGGTGTGTTTGGGTGTGTGGTGGTTGCAAGAGAAAAGGTTGGGGTGGAGGCTGCTGGTGGAGGAGCCTGGTGGTCACGCAGGGGGCTGTAGAAATGTGCGTCGAGCATAGGCTGTGGGGGAAGAGCAATCTGGTGTGCCTGTGTCCTGGGAATTGATGGGTGCAGAGGACCAGGAGCTGGTGGTTCCACTGGCACTTCAGAATTATCAAAGTGCCTTCCATTTGCTCAGTGTCTAAGGCTTTTTCAAGAGCTTAGCCCTCTGCTGTCTTAATCCCACCTCCCAGTTTTCTGTAACAGAACAGAGCTGGTACTTGGGTGCAGTGGAAAGATCACTGATGTTAAAGTCAGATTTATTCAAGTCAATCCAAGTAATAGTTGAGGGCACACCGTAGACCAGGGACTGTGCTTTGTGTTGGGGATAGAGAGCTGAGGAAGAAGTAGAGGCTCCCTTACTCACAGAGCACAAGGTCTGTGGTGGTGAAGGCCTGGGGTCCTGCCCTGGCTTTTCTGTGTGCTCCTGGGTTATAGCATCCATGAGGGTTCAGTGGCCTCACTTGGGAAGCAGCAGAAGTAGCTTGGGCATCACAGGAGAGTGAGTGAGGATTGAACAAGGGAAGCTGTGAAGGTGGTGCTTTATTAGCTCAAAAGCCTAACAATCTGGTAGCTGTCATCACCCCTACATTGCAGATAAAGAAACACAATCCAAGAAAGAGTTAAAGTCTTAAGCAAATTGTCGGTAATATCGGCACCTGAATCCAGGTCTCCTGATTTTGATCCTCATTTTCTTGTCATTGAGCAATACTTTTGAGCTCTAGGGGGTTCCAGGAAAGAGGCTTTATTTCCAAGACTATTTGCTCTCTAAGTATTAACACATATTTATGTTTCCATGACAGCAGCTGGGGATGGGGGAGGGGAAAGGAGAGGAATGGTGGAAAGAAAGGGAAAGGACTAGTCAAAGCACATGTATGAGTGACCCACGGACATGGGCAATGGAGTGGGGACTGAATGTGGGAGTGGGGACAAAGTGGGAACAATTGGGACCACTGTAATGGAATAAACAAGAGTAAGAAAAAGATACTCGGTGGTTTTCAATCCTTCAAGCTCCTGTTCAGTTTACACTGGGACATATGAAGCAATTTCACTGGCGGGTAAAGACTGTGAGGCCCCCTGTTGTCAGTGTAATTGGAATGTGCAAATGTCTAAGTTACAGTTTGTTTTGATATCTCAAGAAAACCACCAGACAAATATTTATGAAGTATCTAGTGTATGTGCATCTTCGTGGTTGGTAGGGATACAAAACAAACCAAGCAGGAATTCTGATCTTATGAAGTTATTAACAGGTGTACTAAATACCTGCAGCAGAGCAGACACTGGACTGGGCACAGGGTCTTCATATGTAAAAGACCAGACCCTGCCTGCCTTCAGGGAACCACTGCCTGCCTGAGTGAATGGACAAGGAAACGGGCAGTCATTCTAAGTGTTGTGTTGGGGTGGGAAAATGCACTGTGTGCTTGGGAGCACAGAGGAGGCCTGCGGGGGCTGGACGGAGAAGCTTTCTGAGTGTTCCGCCGTGTAGGTTTGCTCAAGTAGTTTGGGATTTTAGCACTGAAAGTTGGGTACCAGGGGGGAACTGCCTTCATCCTAGGCAAATAGGAAGGTGAGTCTCCTGCAGAGGAGTGAGTGTGTCTGGGAAGATGAGTAGTGATTTGCTAGCTACACAGAAAAATAGGTGCCTTAGGTCAGGTGAGGATTCTTATCAAGTGAATTAGCACGGAAGTAGAGGGGGGAGGAGAGGGCAAGCAAGGCTGTGGCCTGATCCCCTGGGAGCCCTGGATGGACACTGCCCTGCAGAGTCTCTCCTGCCTGGAGACAAGAGAGGGGCTTTTGTAGCCAGCCCCCCACTTTACTCTGTCACTGGCTCCAGGTTTCCAAGGCTGGTTGGTCAGGGCAGGGACAGGAGACAAAACAATGCAGTAAGCAATGAAGCAATGTAGCTCCCAGGACCCTAGGGCAAGGAGGTCCCCTCTACCAACACCCCCCTCACCTTAGGGCAGGTCTCTCCCTGAAGGCTGCAGGTTGTAGCTGCTCACAAAAGTGCCTGCAGCCAGCTGAAGGGAAGGAACCCTAAGGTCTGAAGGACACACCATGAGCATCCGCCAGAGGGGGAAAGATGCCCATAGAGAGGCTGTTTGGGAGTGCATTAAGATACTCACTGCCCAGCTGTAGGTCCTGTTTACCTGCGGTGTCTGGCACTCTTACCACTGGGGGCAGAGCAATGAACTTGATAGACACTGCTCCTGAGCTTGATTCTCACCTGAGACGTGGTGAGCTGGATGGAGGTCAGGGAAGGCTCACTGAAGTGAGGTCCTACAGATGGGAATGAGACATTTTGAAGAGCTCAGGGGAGAAGGTTCTAGACAGAGAAATAAGAAGTGCAGAGACCCTGAGGTAGGGAGTGCGTGAGTCCACAGTGACTGGCATTACAAGGTTGGCTGGGCAAGGTGCAGTGAGCAAGGACAAAGGCCACTGAAATTCAGAGGAGGGAGAGAGAAGGACTACCTGAGTACCTTTCCAATTATGCAATTTTGATTTTAAACTTATGCAAATTTAAGGAACTGTCTTTTATTTCCTAGGTGGAAGGGGGAAGTATGTGCAGGAGGGAAGGTTTGTGAAGGATGATCCCTAAGATGCTAAGAAATTAAAAATGCAGCTTTCTTTTCCCTTTCTCCCCTGCTCTGTAGGATTGCTACCTTGTCCAGATGCCTCAGAGAGCCAGAGGGCCGAGTGGAGGATGGGGCTGTGGGTGAAGGTGGTGGCTAGTCTTTAAAATGCCTGCCTTAATCTTATTCCAAGCTATGCATGACCCTGTCTCCTACCTCTCTTAGGCTTTCCTGTATAAATTCTTTGGCTTCTCCCTGCAAACTTCAAGGAATGAGGAAGTGATTAAGATGATGCTGTCCTCCATCCTCCAGACTTCCCAGGAGGAGCTGCAGGAGAGGGAGGTGAGACAGAGTGCAGTGGCAAAGGGGGAGCATTTTCAGTTTGAGAGGCAGGCTGGCAAGGTGGCTAGGGGCTCGAAGTTGGCAAAGCAGACCACCTGGGTTGGAAACCCAGCCCTGTCACCTATTAGCTGTGTGCACTTGTGCAAGTTACTGAACCTCTCTGTGCCTCAATTTCCTCTTCTAGAAGATGGGGCTATGGTACTTGAAGGAGACTTCTTAAAAAGTTTTTTTTTTTAAATTTTGAAATCATTTCATACTTAAAGAAAAGTTGCAAAAACAAAAGCCAAAGAACTCCTGTTTATTCTTCTCCCAAGAAATTCTCTCTGCAAAGTTGTAATGTCTTTTCATGTTTGTTTTATCATCTCCCATATAAATTATGTCATTTATTTATTTATAAGTTATTGTTATTGTATCTTCTGAACCTGAAATGGATGCTGCAGCCATGGTGCTCATTTACCCCTAAATACCTTGGTGTACATTATCTAAAAATAAGAATTTTCTCTTATATGAACACAGTACAGTAACCAAAATTAGAAAATTATTGTTGCTCCAGCACTATTATCTTGTTTATAGATCCAAATTGAAAATCATCAATTGTCCCAAGAATGTGTTCTAGAGGAAAAACACAAAACAAAACAAAACAAAACAAAAACCATTCTTTTCTGTGGTCCAGAGTCTTAATTCAGAATCAAACACCACATTCGGTTGTCACTTTCTGTATTTTTCTTTAATCTGAAACAAGTTCCTCATCTGTATTTTTCATGACCTTGACACTTTAAAGATTTTATTTCTTTATTTTAAGAGAGAGAGAGGAGAAAGGAGGTAGAAAGAGAGGGAAAAGAACATCAAAATGTGAGAAGAATATTGATTGGTTGCCTCTTGCATAAATCCTGACTAGTGTCCCAACTCACAACCGAGGCATGTGCCCTGAATGGAATCGAGCCTGGGATAATTTGCTCTGTGGGACACACCCAACCCACAGAGCCACACCAGTCATGGCCACGATCTGGACATTTTAAAAATGTACAGACCATTAATTTTGCATAATATGCCTAGGTTTTGGTTTGTTTCTTATTTCCTCATGATTAGATACAGATTGTGCATTTTGGGTGGAATCCCACAGAAGCGATGTGTGTTATAGGATGGTTTTGGGGACAGAGTATAAAAGCACTGGGAAGAACATCTGGCACCCAAGCACTCTCCATGTGTTGATGAGTTGTGCATTGGTGTCCACACTCTGAGGCCTTCCCTTTGCAAGGCCCTTCCCCTGCCAGATTCTCAGAGCACCCATCACCATCGTGGGCAGCACAGTGACTCTCCAAGCCCAAGGTGCAAACAGTATCAACAGGGAAATGACACATACAGGAAGGAGAGAGCTAACTACACAGAATGGCCTACTAAAGGCTACGTGAACTGCTGCAGAGGCATAGTGGCCGTGGGGGCTGCCTGGGACTTGGGCTGGTTGAGGCCAGTTTCAAAGAAGGAGGGAGGCAGTCATCCCCACTTGACATGACACTATGGGTCAAGACTCTGGATCAGGAGCTTTTGGGGTCCCATCTAGAGAGCAGTCAGGCGTCTAGCAGGACTGGAATGCAGAGTTCTTTGACAGGGAAGTAAAAGTGAACTGTGCTAGCACCTGGGGACAGACCGCATACAGAAGAGAAAGACAAGAGGGAGAGGGCATCCAGGATGGTTCCTGGGTGTCTGGCATCTCGGTGGGGAAAGAAGAAGAGTACCCTTCGCTGAGACTGGGAACCCAGGACAAATGAGTGAGGAGGACAATGCAGTCAGTTTTTGACCAGGAAGGGTTGGGGGTGCCAGGTGGAGATGTCCAGTAGCCATGTAGATTTGGAACTCTGATATGGGCTGGGTGTCTAGATTTGGGAAACATGTCTTCCCCCCTCTGCAAAACGGCGTCCCTCAAAGCATTAGTGTGAGGATCCATGACATGACATGTATAAAGGTGGGTTCCAGAATATTAAAGACTAATATTCTGATGATGTCAATTAGGATGATGATAATGATAATGATGATGACCAGGATGAGTGGAAACCATGGCTAAGGGGGGATGTAGGAAGAGGGACAGAATAGAATAAACATCCTTCTTTTTTAAAACTAATTTATTTTTATTGTATATTTTCCATTACCATCTAGTCTCCTTATACCCCCACCCCCACAATCACCACACTGTTGTCCATGAGTCCTTGTTTCCTTTTGTTCAACCCTCCACCCACTAACTGTCAGCCTGCTCTCTATCTATGAGTCTGTCTCTATGTTGCCTGTTAGTTAAGTTTGTTCTTTAGATTCCACGTATGTGTAAAATCACTTGGTATTTGTCTTGCTCTGGCTTAGTTCACTTAGCGTATTGTTGTCAAGATACATCCATACTGTTGCAAGGGGAGAAATTTTCTTCTTTTTATGGCTGCGTAGTATTCCATTATGTAAATGTCCCATCGTTGTTTTATCCACTCATCCACTGATGGACCTTTGGGCTGTTTCTATATCTTGCTGATTGTCAATAATGCTGCAGTGAACATACAGGTGCTTACGTTCTACTGAGGTAGTGTTTTGGGTTTCTTCGGATATATTCCCAGAAGTGCGATCGCTGGGTCAAAAGGCAGGTTCATTTTAAATTTTTTAAGGTGTCTCCATACTACTTTCCACAGTGGCTGCACCAGTCTGCATTTGCACCAACAGTGCCAAAGGGCTCCCCTTTCTCCACATCCTCACCAGAACTTGTTGTTTGTTGATATATTGATGATGGCCATTTTGACAAGTGTGAGATGATATCTCATTGTGATTTTAATTTGTGTTTCTCTGATGATGAGTGAACTTGAGCATCTTTTCATATGTGTATTGGCCATCTGTAGATCTTCTTTGGAAAAGGGTCTATTCAGGTCCTTAGCCCATTTTTCAATTGAGTTGTAGAAATTTTTGATGTTGAGTTCTGTAAGTTCTTCATAAATTAGATATTAGCCTCTCATCAGATGTATTGGCAAATATGTTCTCCTGTCCTGTGGGTTTTCTTTTTATTTTGTTGATGTTTTCCTTTGGTATGCAGAAAAATTCTAGTTTGATATAGTCCCATTTGTTTATTTTTTCTTTTGTTTCCAGTGCTGGGGGAGATATATGTGATAAAATATTGCTATGAGCTATGTCTGAGATTTTGCTACCTATATTATCTTCTAGGATTTTTATGGTTTGCTCTCTAATGTTTAAGTCTTTAATCCATTTTTAATTTATTGTTGTGTGTGGTGTAAGAAGGTGGTCTAGTTTCATTTTTATACATGTGTCTGTCCAGTTTTCTCAACATCATTTATTAAATGAACTATCTTTAGCTTATTGTATGCGCTTAGTTCCTCTGCTGAATATTACTTGACTCTAAATGTGTGGGTTTATTTCTGGGCTCTGTATTGTTCCATTGATCTGTGTGTCTGTTTTTATGCCAGTACCAGACTGTTTTGATTACTGTGGCCTTGTAGTATGGTTTGATATTAGGCAGCGTGATTCCTCCAACTTTGTTCTTCTGTCTCAGGATTGCTGTTGCTATGCATGACCTATATGTAGAACCCCCCTTTGATACTCCACTAGTCCCTCCTTTTTAACCAGGTAAAGATTTCCCTTCATCTACTTGGAGTAAGAGTCTATAAGTCCCACTAAAATCTCACTCCCTCTTGAGGATCTGTGTCCTGGAGTCTTTCAATGTCTCGAGGTCCTCCACTCTGCCTTCCCTTGCTACAGGTTCTAATGGTGGCCCTTGCAGTATGAATAAGCCAGTTGGAAAACAGATGGCACTTGTATGTCTGTGTTGACCATTTCTTTGGGTCTGTGGCCAGGCCTCCTCATTGGATAAGCTCTCAGGAGAAGCTCAGCTGACACTGCAGTCAAAGAGGCCTGTTATGAGACAGAGGGATTTAAGTTAAAATCTTCTCCTGGAGGGAACCAGAGAGTCCCCAAGCCCTGGTGCTTTTGGCTCAGTCTAGTTATTGATTCCCAGATCCCCTTCTAGTTCCAACTTTCAGGTCCACTGGCATGGACAACATTTCCGCTCGGTTGTGGTGCAATACCTCCCATACAACTCATCCAGGGACCCACGTGTTCCTCTCTCTCCAACCGAGACAGGCTTCCCATTTCACTGGCCTATTTCAGTGAATAGAGTTAAGACTGTTTCGTTCTCTTCCTAGAAATCTGGGCATTGTCTGTGTCTTCTCTCTCTTCCGTCCCCTCTATGATTAGCTACCCAATCCTGTCAATAAAGTGCCTGAGATTTGTTCTTCCCTCTCTGTTCCCTCATCAGAACAAACATTCTCTGAATTCCCAGGACATATAAAGGTATCCTCAATTGCGTAGTATTGGATTTGATAATACCAGCTTTTTTTTAAACCTGTGAGTCTGATTTCTTTTTATTCATTGTCTTCTTGAATTAGTTCTTGCAAAGATATTTTGTTCTCCATCTGGATTTTAAACAGTGCAACTCTAGGCAACCGAATTTCTCTTCATTTTTTTTCTCTCCTCTCCTCTCCCTTCCTCTCTCTAAATCTTGCTTCCGGGGGGCATAGCAGGTGCTTGGCTCACCCTAAGCTGTGGCATGGGGTTGAGGCTCTCCCTGTTACAGGGCATTGCCGTGGCGCTCAGTGTTGTATCCAGGAAACATCTGAAGATAGTCCTGGAAGAAGTTGGACTATATAGTGCTGTCCTCACTGACAAGGCCTCATCGCTCATCCTGAAATTTATGAAGGTGATACCATTCCCAGATGGCTCTGCCCACCTCCTTCATAGAGTCTTCAAAGGCATCCCCATCACCCCAGCCTCCCACTTCTCTGAGGCTTTGTGATGCACCTATAAGGGCTTCTCTTTCCCTCCGACCAAATGTGGGAAAGGTCCTCCCACCCTCTACCCCTTTCTCTTGCTCCCTCCTGTCCACACTTTAGGCCCTGGTCTCAGCAGCTGCATGCCCTCTTTCCCCAACTGTCATCACTCCACTGCCCCATCTTCCCTCCCACACCCTCTGGGACACCTTTTCCTTGTTGAACCTCTGTTTCCCCATCAGGCAAGGAGGGTAAGGTAGGGAGGAGCCAAGATTTCCTTTTCCCCCTACAGGAACATCAGCAGAGGAAATGGGCGATGGTGTGCAGTACTATTTATTTAAGCTACAGGAAAATTATTGAGGAGAACAACACAATCATCTTCCTGTACTTAGACGACATCCTGGCCTTGGTCCTCCAACACTACCACAACTGCGTTGTGGAGAAGGTACTTCCTGGTCACTCTGCTTCTCCAGCATCTCTTCTCTGCCATCTCTTTGCCTACCCTCCAGAAAAAATGCCTGGCCTTCAACGAGACTTGGGGAGTAGGGCTAGTACAGTTACTTCTCCCACATTTCAATCCTTCACTTAATCCCACTGGAGACTCTAACTGACCAAGGAAGAGACCTCAGGAATTTGGACTCTGTTAAAAAGTGTCTCCTTCCCTGCTGGCATGCTATGTAACATGCCTTTCAGCTCTTCACTGTCTTCCCCCATAAAGGGATGAGTAAAGCTAAAATTTTCTGATTGTCATAGGAAGAAGCATTCACGGGAGATAGAAGGAGCCCCATACTATTCTCCTGCCTTTGCTGTTTGTCCACAGCTTGGCTCCCTAGGGATGGAGAAGAAGCCCTTTCTGTTCCCACTAGATGTCCTTTGGAAGAACTTATCCATGGGAAAGACAATATCTTGAGAGACAAGGAAGCTAGATCTCACCTAATTTAGGAGTTCTCTGAGGGGGACTCAGGAAGAGGGGTGGTGAGTGGGCTGGCCCCATGCCCCACAGGGAAGATAAAGAGTGTCAGGCTGAGGAAGACTACAGAAGGCTTAGCTCCTCATCCCCCAGTCTTGCTGTGGGTAGTGTGTCCTGGTTCCTGGGTCATGCTCACCTTGGAAGTCTCTGAGCTTCCTGGTTCCTTCAGGATAAGAACCTGCAGCAGGATTACCTGGATGCCCTGACCATCTTGACAAACATCCTGAGCAGCCAGCAGCCCTTGGCCTGTGGATTCAGTTTCTCCCAGAAACCATCCTTAGTAAAACTCATGGTGGTAAGTACTTCTCAGAAGGATGGAGGTGGAAATGCAGAGAGGAGGGAGCACAGGTGTCATGGGAATCACTGGTAGTGCTCCTAGGCTGGGGGAAGGTGTGGTTGAGAGTCAGGAAAAGGTGCTTTCCTCAGAGTCTTTCGAAGTCCCTAGAAATTCTAGATTCTACCTTCTGATGAGCACAGCCTGGAGGAGGGGGACACAGAGGCAGACAGGAAAAACATGTTTGCCACCCTTTTTGGGCTGTGTGTGTGTATGTGTGCGTGTGTGTGTAATAGGACCTGATCAGCGAAGAGCCATTGGACTCCATCTCCAGCCCCATTAGACAGAAGGCGATGAACATCATCGCTGACTTCAGGTAACAACATGCCATACACTCTGTCTTCTCTTTCTCTGCCCTGGTTCTAGTTCAGCTCTTTATTCCCTAGTCCATCCCCACTGCTTATTTCCTGTCTCTGCTTGTAGTAGCAATTTACTGGATAATGTCTTCCACTTTTTTGCCAGGATTCTTTGGATGGGGTTCTCAGAGCGCCTGGCAGAGACAGCCTGGAGATAGGACTTGCTGTCACTTCTTCCCAGGCTTCCCTTTACTTTCAGGGCTGCCCCAACTAGGCACGTCCATCTCCATCACTGATGCTTATTCTCTGAAAACCTCTGGGGAACCAGAGAGTAATATATCCTCCCTAATTAGCAGTGCCCTTTCCTGAGAGAGGCATGCCTCATCTCTTCCCCTTAGTTCCCTTTTGCCACCTTCCTGGCTCCTTTCACCTTTTCTTACTGTTTCCTCCCTTTCCTCTTATTACTCTTTCTTCTGATATGTATCTTCCTCTTCCTTGCTCCCACCTACCCCTCATCTTTAGCATCCATTTCTTTCCCTTCCTCAGCAGTTATTACCGACCACCATTGTCCAGTTACATTTCTTTTCTCTGTTCCTTAGGCTGCTGGGGCCCCTTTTAGAGGCAGAACAAGGAGCAGAGCTGCTCCAACTGTGCTTCAATAGTGTGTTCTGCCTGCCACCCCCAGACATGTTGCAGAAGGACGCATCTAGTCCCGAGGAGGCCCAGGCCAATTTGGTAAGTAACTCTTTAATGTTTGTCTCCTTTACTTTAGTTTTTTATTTATTTTATTTTATTGATTGTGGTATTATACCTGTCCTGATTTTGCCTCTTGTCCCCTCCACCCGGCACCACCCACTCCCTCAGGCATTGTTCATGTCCGTGGGTCCTGTGAATAAGTTCTTTGGCTACTCTCTTCTCCTCACTGTACTTTGCATCCCTTTGGCTACTCTGGAATGACCAATTTGCACTTAATGCCCTCACCTCTCCATTCATGCCCCATACCCCTAACCCACCCCACAACCATCAAATTGGGCTCTGTACCTATGACTGTGCCTCTGTGCTACTTGGTTGCTTAGTTTCTTGCAACTGAATTTGCTTGATTTTCTTCAAGATCAGTAAGTAGGTCTGTTCACCTTGGGCCTTCTTTTCATCAGATGTGTGGTGATCCTCCCTTTTTCCTTCATATTTATTCATGTTATGAAGGAAGGACTGGTACATACAGAAAGGGCTGAAGTGGGAAGTATCCTGTGGTTGTGTCCCCATGGTGCTCTCCTCACTGTAAATCTGGTTAGGGTGAGGAGGGTATTTTGACAGGATTTCCCTGTGTGTTGGGCAGACTGGGAATTCCAAGTGCCCAGTGAGAACAGGTCTACCCTGAGGTGGATTTCTTTTGAGTCCTTCATTCTAGGGAAGGCTGCCTTTCTTTCTGTTTCCCCCTGCTTTTCAGTTTTAGTGGTCTGGATCTATGACCAATGTTGCTTTGGTTCTCCCAGTAGGCCTACCTTTAGGCCTGCAACTTGGCAGATTACCTACTCTCCTTATAAGGTTTTGGGCGAGGCCACTCAGTTCACTAAAGGCTGAGAGGGAGAAATCCACTCTCCTAACTTTGGTGAATCAGTTACCAGCGAACAGCCAGGTCTGTCCTCTTTCCCCTGGAGCCAGACACCTCTGAGTCAGGGCCCACACTGGGAGCAGATTCCCAGATGAACTCAGGTGGGGAGTGGGGATGGAGCAGCCAGGGGTAGTAGCTATGTTGTCAGGGATCTCCCAGTCTACAAGGACAAAATTCCCAGCAGGCAGACGTCTGTGCTCTGGTGTAAACAACTGAGGAATCTATTGAAGTGAGTGATGGGTGAATAGTGCTTGGAATGTAGGGGGCTGTTCTGGAGCAGGCTTTCTCAAGGAAGGCTTCCTAGAGAGTCAGAGTACTGAGCAGGGTGTCTAGAAGAAGGACTGGGCCTGAGAGCTTGGCAGTTGTTTGAGTCTCTTTTTTCCCCTCAGGATCTATTTAACGGGACCATGGGATCCCTCCAGAGGCTCACAGAGGCAGTTGTGGCTGAGATGCCCACACGGATGGAGGACTGCTTGGAGGTCAGTGGGAAGAAGCCCCTGGAAGTCGACATATTGGTTGGTTCCTAGGGCTGCTGTAATGAAGTACCACAATTGAGGGACTTCACACACCTTGCTGTCACAGTCATAAAGGATAAGAGTCCAAAATCAAGGTATCAGCAGGGTTGGTTCCTACTGAAGGTTCTGAAGAAGAGTCCGTTCCAGGTGTCTCTCCTAGCTTCTGGTTATTCCTAGCAACCTGTGGGGCATCTCTTGGTCTGGACACATATCACAGCAATCTGTGTCTCCATTTATTTCCGCAGGGCATTCTCCCCTCTGTGTGTGTGCGTGTGCGTGTGCGTGTGTGTGTGTGTGTGTGTTTTCTCTGTTTAACAGGAACAGCAGTCATCAGGTCAGGAACCACCTGAACCCAGTATGAACTCACCTTAACTTGAATCAGCTACAATGACCCTATTTCTAGACAAGGTCACATTCTGAGGTGCTGGGTGGACATAAATTGCAGGGGGCCACTACTAACTCAGTACTGTTGGAAACAGATGAGAACAGTCTAGGGACAAACCAAGAAGGAGAACTGCTGATGAAGCTGGGGTACAGAGCTCTTAGGGAAAGATTAATGAGGGCTGGGATCCAAATAAAGTAGGTCTTGTCTTCAGAGAAGAAAATGTCCTCCTTCCTTCTTCCCCATCAACCATTCCCCTGACCATCTCCTCTCTCAGCGCCCTTCTGCTACTTTATAGCACTGAATAGTTAAAAGCAGGAGCTCTGGACTTCCATACACTACAGTACCAGATTCTGGCTTTCCTGCTTGCTGTGTGGTTTGGGGGAGTTATTTCATTTGTCTTTGCCTCAGTTTCCCCCCTGGAAAATGGAATGACAGTACCTAGTTAATACCATCGTTCTGATAATGGAATGAGATGTTTACAAAGTGCTTGGCTTAAAGAAGTGAGGTACAGGTTCAAATAATTTGTCCATTAAAAAAATTGTGTGCCTTTTTATTGACAACTTTCCCATCGTTAATGTCATTACGTTACTTTGGTCTTCTCCTGAAAATTTTATTCCCCAATTCTCATGGAAAGTTAAAGATTTCCTTGCAGTTCCTGTTGCTGTTAGAATGTAGATCACTGAGGACTATAGTCAGAGAGTTGCATACACAAGTTACATCTTGAAATAATTCTTTTCTGTGAGTTCATATTATCAAATTGATATACTTTACACTGTTTGTGTTAAATTTTATGATTTTCTTCCTTTTATTTAATTGAACAGCTTGATGATGTAGAGATTTACATAATTAAAAACTTACAATAAAACTAGGTGCCCTTTTACTCAGCGAATTCTTGCTTGCATACCAATCTTCTTAACCTTTTTACCACTCACCCTCTGTAGATAAGCTTTTCATTCACTTCTGGTTTGTGCTTCCCTTTTTACTCAGTCAAAATAAACAAATCTCTGTTTATGGTATATTCTTATCTCTCTCTCTTTTTTTTTATGCTGTAGGTAGCACATTCTTTCTAGTACCCTGGACCTTGCTTTTTCATTTGTGTCAGTTCACAAATACATTCCTTTTTTGTATGATCTCACACATTGTGTGCATGTCTTATCGTTTCTTCATCCGTCCCCTATAGATGGACACTGGACTATTTGTAATCATTTTGCTGCCAGTTTTCTCCTGAACTTTTGAATTTGAAAAGATCGTAGATTCTCAAGGGGTTGCAAAAACAGTATAGTACTTAGAGCCCTTGAATGGCACACTGTCAAAACCAGGGCACTCACGTGGGCGCACTGTTGTAAGACAACAGGCTTTGTTCCGTTTCCACCACTGTTTACATGTGCTCATTTGTGTGCATCCTATGCGGTTTGATCTTTTTTGTAGAATTATGTACACACCCATCATCACCATTGTGATTTGGATGTTCCCTCACCGAGAGAAGTTTTCTTGTGCTACTGCTTTATAATCACATCTCCTCCCCACCTTGCCTCTATTCCCTGGCAGCCACCAACCTGTTCTCTGTCTCTGTAATTGGGTCCTTCTGAGGTTGTTATATACATGGAATCATCTAGTATGTTAGGTTTCATGAGCTCGACTTCTTTCTGTAAGCTTAATGGTCACAAGTCCTTTTACAGATCTGTACTTTGCCCATGTTTTCATCCAATCTGTAGTTTGTCTTTTTGTTCAAACTATGAGAGAAAGTTTACTTAGAAAATGACCGATGTAGAAGTGAGTCATAGAAGTATTAATTTTACTGATCTTTTAAAAGAACCAACTTTTTGTTTGTTTTCTCTATTTAGTCTCTTCATATTTTTCTGTTTTTGTATTCAAATTCTATCAACTTTTGCTATTATTTGTAGTATCTTCTTTCTTTGGACTTACTTTACTTTTTCTACTTTTCCTTAAGTGGAAACTTAGATTATTGACTTAAGACCTTTCTTCTTCTCTAAGAGAAATATTTGGTGGTACAAATTTCCCTTTAGGCATGAGGTTAGCTGATTCCATACATGTTGATATGCTGCATTTTCATTCTTTAGTTCCAAGTACACTAAAATTTCTCTTGAATTTTCCCTTTGGGCAATAAATTATTTACAAGTGTGTGGTTTAATTTCTAGAAGTTTGAAGAATTTTCTTTCAGTTCTCTTTTAGTTTTTGGTTTCTAATCTAATTGTATTATGGTCTCTTTTCCTTCACTTGAGAGTATGCTTATCTCATCTTTTCAATGATTGCAATTTTTTAAATTTGTTAAGGTTTTATTTAATGAGGCAAGATATGGCCTATTTGCTCTTGTGGGACACATGGTGCTAAAATGCCCCCTGATGGTGTTGTTCAGGTCTGCAGTCTCTTTGCTGGTTTTCTGTTTCCTAATATATTGCTCACTGAGAGAGGATTGTTGAGATCTCCAAGCCTACTGAGGATTTACCTGTTTTTCCTTTCAGTTCTGTCAGCTTTCACTTCATATGTGTTGAAGCTGTGTTAAGTGCATACGTGCTAGGATCTTCGTGGTAAACGGTTCTTTTGTCCTTGTGAAATACCCTCTTTAGTAATTTTCTTTGCTATGAAGTCATATTTCTCTATTGTAAATAGTCACTATATCTGTTTTAAAATTTGTATTTGCAAGACACTTCCTCGTTCATCTTTTTATTTTTGACATACTAATATTGTGGTATTTGAAGTGAATTTTTTGCAGATAGCAGACAGTTGGTCATTAAAGAAATCTATTTGGTAGGCTCTTTTTTATTTTTTTTAAATGTATTTTATTGATAATGCCATTACACTTGTCCCATTTCCCCCCTTCATTCCCCTCCACCCTGCACACCCTCTCCCCCCTACATTCCCTCCCTTTAGTTCATATCCAGGTGTCATAAGTTCTTTAGCTTCTACATTTCCCACACTACTCTTGCCTTCCCCTGTTTATTTTTTCCCCACCATCTATGCTACTTATTCTCTGAACCTTCTCCCCACTCTCTTCCTCCCACTCCCCTGCTGCTAACCCTCCATGTGATCTCCATTTCTGTGGTTCAGTTCCTGTTCTAGTTGTTTGCTTAGTTTGCTTTAGCTTTAGGTGTGATTGTTAATAACTGTGAGTTTGCTGTCCATTTACTGTTCATATTTTTTATCTTCTTTTTCTTAGCTAAGTCCCTTTAACATTTCATATAATAAGGGCTTGGTGATGATGAACTCCTTGAACTTCATCTTATCTGAGAAGCACTTTATTTGCCCTTCCGTTATAAATGAAAGCTTTGCTAGATAGAGCAATCTTGGATGTAGGTCCTTGCATTTCATGACTTGGAATACTTCTTTCCAGTTCCTTCTTGCCTGTAAGGTCTCTTTTGAGAAATCTGCTGATAGTCTGATGGGAACTCCTTTGTAGGTGACTGTCCCCTTATCTCTTGCTGCTTCTAGGATTCTCTCCTTCATTTTAATCTTGGCTAATATAATTATGATGTGCCTTGGTGTGTTCCTCCTTGGGTCCACCTTTTTTGGGACTCTGAGCTGCCTGGACTTCCCGAAAGTCTATTTCCTTTGACAGATTGGGGAAGTTCCCTTTTATTATTTGTTCAAATAAGTTTTCCACTTGTTGCTCTTCCTCTTCTCCTTTTGGTACCCCTATAACTTGGATGTTGGAACATTTAAAGATGTCCTTGAGGTTCCTAAGCCTCTCCTCATTTTTTTTTGAATTCTCGTTTCTTCATTCTTTTCTGTTTGTTTGCTTCTTTCTTCCTTCTGGTCCACTCCATTGATTTGAGTCCCAGTTTTCTTTCCATCACTATTGGTTCCCTGTGCATTTTCCTTCATTTCACTCAGTGTAACCTTCATTTTTTCATCTAATTTTGTGACCAAAATCAACCAGTTCTCTGAGCATCCTGATCACCAATGTTTTGAACTGTGCATCTGATGGGTTAGCTCTCTCTGGGTCGATTAAAAGTATTGGCTCTGGGGTTTGAATTGTTCTCTTGTTTGAGCCATAATGTTTTGATCTGGTTGAGCCTGTTATGATGGTAGGCTTATTTTTAAAAGTGGTTTCTGACTATTTGTCTTTTAATTGGTGTGTTCAGATCACTAACATTTTCTAAATGAACATCAATTTCATTTACAAAGCATTAAAGCTTAGCAAGAAGTACCTGAGGCTAAGTTTCCTCTGGCACAGAACTACAGGATGTTAAACACAAAAGAGGGTATGATGAAAGGGAAGAAGATGCTTATGTTGTACAAACTGAGTAAATCAAACTGCAGTGGACAGTGGTTTAATGAGCTAAAAAAAATTCCAAAAGCAGAAATAATTATTAGGAGCTGCCATCAGGAACCTTTATAACACATCATTTGCACATTATTGCAGAGTTACAGAACAGAGAGACATAGAACAGAAGTAATGTTTTGCTCTTCTTCTGTATAAAAAGTAGATTGGTTGGATGTGTACAGTGGGTTTTGAGATCCTCTGAAATTCAGAGTAAAGAAACCGTGTGTGCAGAGGGTTTCCTAGCTGACTGAGGAGAGAGCTTTTAGCTGACCAGAAGTGCTTCGCCTGTGTCATCATTTTCACAGTGTGTTCAAAGGAGAGTGTGAGCACTGCTTATTGTGAAATTGCTGTCAGCTGGTGGGTGCTCCTGGAGGAGGCTGAGCAAATTGGTTAGTTTATGCAGTTTGGGATAGAAATCAAAGGAGAAGCCATCAGTGAGAGCCTCTTTCTCTTCTTCTATCTTTTAGAACCAAAACATTCAGTAGTTGAACTCTTCCTGAGTCTATATCTATATATTTTTAAAATATTTTATTTATTTTTTTGAGAGAGAGGGGAAGGGAAGGAGAAAGAGTGGGAGAGAAACATCAATGTGTGGTTGCCTCTCATGTGTCCCCTGCAGGGGACCTGGCCTACAACCCAGGCATGTACCCTGACTGGGAATCAAACTGGCGACCCTTTGCTTCACAGACCCGTGCTCACTCCACTGAGCTACACCAGCCAGGGCAGGCTTTTTCTTTATTGGCTCTCACAGTAATGAATTATTTCCAAGTAATCTCCAAAAGCAATAAGAGACAGTTATTTTTTCTAGTATCAATTTTTACTTTATTTTATTTTTATTTCTAAGTATATTTTAATGATTATGCCATTATAGTTGTCCCAATGTTTTTTCTCCCCTTTATCCCCACACCACCTTGTACCACCCCACCTCCAGCATTCTGCTTTCTTTGTTCATGTCCGTAGGTTGTACATAGAAGTTCTTTGGCTTCTCTGTTTCTTTTATTATTCTTTACCTCCTCCCCCATCTATTTTATACCTACCAACTATGCTTCTTATTCCCTGTACTTCTCCCCAAATTATTTTCCTCCCCCTTTCCACTGAAAACCCTCCATGTGATCTCCATTTCCCTGGTTCTGTTCCTGTTCTAGTTGTTTGTTTAGTTTTTGTTTTTTAAGTTCAGTTCTTGATAGTTGTGAGTTTGTTGTCATTTCACTGTGCATAGTTTTTATCTATTTCTTAGATAAGTCCCTTTATCATTTCATATAATAAGGGCTTAGTGATGATGAACTCCTTTAACTTGACCTATCCAGGAAGCACTTTATCTGCCCTCCTATTCTAAATGGGAGCTTTGCTGGATAGAGTCATCTTAGGTCTAAGTCCTTGCTTTTCATGACTTCACATACTTCTTTCCAGCCCCTTCTTGCCTGTAAAGTTTCTTGTGAGAAATCAGCTGATAGTCTTATAGGCACTCCTTTGCAAGTAACTGTCTCCTTTCCTCTTGCTGCTTTTAAGATCCTCTCCTGGTCTTTAATCTTGGCTAATGTAATTATGATGTGCCTTGGTGTGTTTCTCCATGGATGCCATTTCTTTGGGACTGTCTGGGCTTCCTGGACTTCTTGGAAGTCTGTATATTCCCTCATTATTTGTTCAAATCAACTTTTAAATTCTTCCTCTTGGTCGTCTTTTTCTGGCATTCCTATGATTTACATGTTAGAGGACTTAGAGTTGTCCCAAATGTTCCTTTTAAAAAAAAAATCTTGTTTTTTCTTTTTTTTCTGGATGGATGTTTATTTCTTCTTTTTTTTCCAAATTGTTGATGTGAGTCCCAGTTTCCTACTCTCCACTGTTGACTTCCTATATATTTTGTTTTATTTCACTTTGGGTAGATATTATTTCTTCCTTCATTTTGCAACTGATCTCAATCAGTTCTGTGAGCATCCTGATTACCAATGTTTTGAACTCTGTATCAGATAGGTTGTCTATCTCCTCGTCACTTAGCTCTTTTTCTGGAATTTTGCTCTGTTCCTTCATTTGGGCCATATTTCTTTGTCTTGTTGCACCAGATATGTTGTAAGGAGGCAGAGCCTTAGGTATTGCCAGTGCAGGGTAACTCATGTACCTGTGATGTGGTGCTATATTTGAGGGAGGGGTGTGAGAGGGAACAATGTGGCTTTTTGGGCTCTCAGTCAGCCTTCAGTCATGTTCCCCACTACCCACAAGCAAATCGATCCCTTCTGGTACTACTTCCCAGGTGGGTGGGTTTGTGTACATTCTAGGACCTTGTGGGCCTCCCCAACAAACTCTCCTGTGGGGATGGGAGTTTCTTCTGCCACCACAATACCCACAAGTTTTTACAGCCAGAGATTTTGAGGCTTTATTTTCCCACACTGTAACCCTGGTTTGTGTGGTCTGTCTCGCTCCCCAGTTGTTCCTCCTGGATTGTCCTCATGTGAATGTGGGACCACCAAGTCCACCAGCTGCTGCCTTGTCATTAGTTCTCCCTGCCCCAGCTACCCATCTCTGCCCCTCCTACCCATCTGAATGAATGTTCTTTCTTTAACTCCTTGGTTGTCAGACTTCCACACAGTTCTATTCTCTGGCAATTCTGGTTGTTTTTGTTTTTAAATTTCTTGTTGTCCTGCTTTTTTTTGGTTGTGCAAGGAGGCAAAGTTTATCTACCTATGCCTCCAACTTGGTAGGAAGTCTTGTAGTATCCTTTGAGTTTATAATGAATTTTTAAAACCTTTATGTGTTTTAATTAAATATAACTATTATTGTATTGATGTCTATGTTGTCTTACATTCCATGAGTGGCAGACTTTGAGTTGGCTCCTGAATCCCTCCAAGATGACTTCATTAACCTTCAATAGCTTCCTTGCTCTCCAGTGTAATATCTTGTGTCCTTCCTATCTCAGTCCTGGAATCACTGTTTCTCCAAAGATCTCTCACTCCCCTCCATAGGAAATGGTATTTACAAAACACAATCTCATTGCTGAAGTATTTCATCATAGTCTGACTGCAAGGAAGACTTGTAAAACTGCTACTAAAATCCTCATCTCTTATGAAATGCTTTTTCTGGTCAGTGCAGCCTCAGTGTTGTCTTGAGTTGGTTGTGAATTTTTCACCTGCTGCTCTTCTTGTTTTTTTTTTTTTTCATTATAGATTGTTATCTGTCTAGGAATACCAGGGTATAGGGACCCACTGAAGTGAGTAGAGTGGGTCTATTTTGAGAGCCAGTGCTTTAACCTAAAGGAAGGGATAGGAATTGAGGAGATTTCTAGCACCAAGATGAGGGGAAATTTGGGGCTGGGAAATGAAGGGGCCTCTGGTGCCAGACCCACATAACCTGCCTCTTTGCAGAAGAGGCCCTGCTGTCAGAAGTCTTACCCTGATACTTCGCTGAATCTAGGTTCAAAAGTACCTCTCTGTCCTCTGGGATGCAGCTGAATAGGTCTCTCCTTGTATCCTCTTCTCCCTCCAGCTTTTGGACCCATGGCTTAATTCCCAGAAGGACAGTGAGCGGGAACGGGCCATGCAGTGTGCAGCCCATGTACTTGAATTTGTTGCAATGATGGATAACTTCACGGTGAGTGAGAGCCTGCCCTGGAGCCTGGGCCTCATACCCAGTCTGGTTGCACTTATTCCTGCGTTTATCCAAAACTTCATCACATGCATTACCAAGTCTCAGTCACTCATGCTCATCCTCCTTCGCCCTGATCCCATCATGTTTTCCCTTGTGCATCCCATCTTGTTCTCTCCTTCTTCCCTACTGACATCTTCTACTTAGTCTTTTTCTCCATCCACCTACTTTATTTCATTCCACTTGTTTCATTTTGATGCTATTTGTCTGAATGAGCAGTTACCAAACGCTCACCTTGTGCCAGGCACTGTGCTAGGTGCTATAGCAAACGCACAGATGACTGAGACACTTCTCTGACTCTATGGATATTACAGTCCAGTATGGGGAGACGCATGCACAGCATGAACTTAAACAGAAGGTGATAATGAATATATAAACCAAATGCTGTGGGAATGAAACTTCAAAACAAACATTACAAATGAGGGCGGTAAGGAAAACTTCATAGAGGAGGAGGTATTTGAGCAAGGCCTGACAGGTGATGTGGTACCAAAAGACAAAGAAGGGATACAGAGCAAGGTCATTTCAAAACTATGATCTGTGAAGTTCTTTATGGGCACAATTCACCTGTCTAATGCCATTCCCACCGACCTCACCTAGTCTCTCACCTTTCATGTCTCTGGCACATGCATTCCCTCCTGTCAGTTCTTTTCCTGTGAGAACTCAGCCTAAAGGAAGGGCTAGGATAACTTCCAGCTTCCTTCCCTAGATGCAGATGGAGATCACCCAGCTGGGGCACTGGGTAAAGCTGCTGGCCATGTGCTGCCAGGACCCTGTGGACACCATCTGCTCTTTGTCATCCCAGGCTGCCTACAGCCTCAACTGTATCCTCTCAAGAAAGAAGCGTAAGGGGAAGCTTCTTCTATCACCCTCTCTAAAGCCTCCCACTTGGGCTGGCCATCCCCTCACACTCTGTCCCAGAAGAGTAAAACCCAAGAAGTTAATTGAACACCTTATTTCCATTTACAGATCTGCCCCCAAACATCTACAGTTAATCTCTTGGGCCAAAATACACACAGAGGAAATAGTTCTTTTGAATTAGTTTCTCCTCCTCCTGCAGAGCGCCATACTTTTACTCAATTTTACCTCTGATCTGAGACAGGCAGCTTCGGGGTCCTTTGACCTGAACTCCCACCATTCCTGTTCTCAATGTCCATTCCTCTACTCCCAGCTCCACAGGACACACATAGTCTACAGCTGACCTAGGGCAGCAGGAGTTTGTTCTAGAAGGTGGGAAAGTGGGGAGCCTAAGATGCTTTCTCAGTATCTTAGGAGTGTGGTCGGGTGTTTTGGTTTCAGAGATGGAAGAGCAAAATCTGGCCTTCCAGCAAGAAGAGGACAAGAATAAATGGGATTTATCTCCTAGAAATGCCAATGATGTTGGAAAGGTGAGTGGGCAGGACTAGAGACAAAGTGAGGAGAGCCTGAGGCTGTCATTGACCTGCTATTAGAGACTCCTGGGTGGGACTTTTTGATCCCTTCTCATTTCCCATTCCATTACTAGATGGGACCTTTCCCTTTTGGGAAAATTTTCCTACCACATGCTACTATTTTTCTCTTTGGGCATTACGGGTCCTAATCCTTGTTGACCTGTCTCCCCAGAAGCCTTCGCTTCATGCTAATGATGCTTTGTGAGCAATGTGTAGATGCCACCTGTGCCTCAAGAAGATGTCACTCAGCCCCTGAACCCCTGCCCTCCTGTCCCCATGCTCTGCCTCTGTAGCCACTGACCTCTGAGCCCCACTCTGCCTCTGAGGTCAGTGTTTGCTCACTTCTATCCCTAAAGACTCTCATCAGTGAAAGAGTCTTCTGGATCTAGGTATCCAGCACAAGCCTGAGACAAAAAGCACATCATCTTCCCAGGAGAAGCCCTCCCTATCCAAGAGGAAGGGCACAGGCTGTCTCAGACAGGGGACCCCTGAGTCCAGCCTGATCCCACCCTTTTGCAGGCATTTGCACAGTTCTTCACCCAGCCTCAGCTCACCAGCCTGGTTCTCACAGCTGTGGAGGAACTGAGCAGCAGCAGGACCCAGTTATCTCTGGCTTCAGCCCAGTTGATGAGCGCTGTCATCCAAGAGCGAGGCAAAGATCTGGGGAAGGTAATGTGGTGCTGCGGCAAGGCTTTGCCCTACAGTCAGGAGCCCTGGGCTCTTCCCCTGGCTCTGTCACCAAGCAGCTGGAAGGCCTTGGCCAAGTCCCTCTGTTCAGCTGGCTTTAATTCATTAACCCCTAAAATCTAGGCTTGTGTTACATTTTCTCTGTGGTCACAGGGAGCCCTAACATTGCAATTCTGAGCTTGTAACTGCAGTGTTTCCCACCTGGGTGGCTGATTACTCAGGTAATGACAACCATCTGCAGTAGTGTAAGCATTTTTGGGGGATTCACCCCGATTCCCTGGAGTGTCAGCGGGCCTAGACCTCTGTGAAAGGAAAGGCTGTGGACTGCAAACAAGCAAGCTCATGGAATATGTGACCTTTGCATAAATTTATTAGACCAACATATAAAATGAGAAGGTTTAGCATTTAAGAATCTACATTGGCTACTTCATTTAAAAAAAAGAAACAACCAACTCTGGATGTGAAAGCCCTGTGGTCCTTCCACATCCAGTACCGCTTTGCTTGTGGTTTCATGAGTATACGTTGAACTCAGCTGAAAGGGAAAGCCCTGAGATGTCAGAACCATAGGTTCTGCCTTCCCTCTGGAGCATCTTGTGTCTCCTGAGAAACCTGGAGCTCTTGTCTGGACTCCAGGGCTGTGGACAGGCATTGACTACAGTGGTTCCTGGCATGGGCTTCTGGAATTTTTTTAGGGCCCCTGCTTCTCTGGCCTCTGGTACCCCAGAACTCTGCCTTGAGAAGTGTCACTGACAGGATTGCAACCTTGAGCTTGAGGAGCTGGTAGACAGGGAATAGGAGGGAAGGAAGTAAAGAAGGAACAACTGAGGTTCTTCTGGCTCTACTGTGTAGGTTGAAGAGATTGTGGAGGGCATCCTGGAACAGCTCAAATCCAAGTTGGAGCCCAGCACAAAGGAGGAGACTCTTCGGGCCATGTGCTTGCTGGCAGGCAACCACATCCACATCATGGTGCCTCTGCTGCTCAACAAGCCCCTCCCTTGGGATAGGTATCTCTTCCAAGGCCCTGGAGCACATCCTCCATCCCCATGAACCCTCCCCTGCTCCACCCCAAGTCCATGACAAAAATCTCTGCACCAGCACGCTTTTTCCTGATGCCCGTCAAACTTCATGTTCCCTGGCCAAGTCTTCTTGGGTTCTCCTTCCTCTGGCACCTGAGAACTGGCCTTTCATAGGCCTCAGACCAGACTAGTCCTAGGAACATGGTCCCCGGAGGCCCTGACATAGCTGTCTCTGGGTCTTGCAGAACCATTCTAGCCCTGTGGAAGGTTTTTGGGACTTGGCGAGAGACCACATTCAGCATCCTGCAGCTCCTCACAGGCATTTTGGAACAGCGCCACCAAGGACAAGAGAAAGAGGTGGTGTCCCAGAGTGTGTTGGTCAATATGAGGGAGGAGAGGGGGCTGAGGAATCACTGGGACTTGGGAGCAGCTCTGAAGATCAAAGGGCACCTGCAGGGTCGGGGCAGGTGTCAGGGAAGAGCAACAAAGAGAGTTTTAACACTGGTCTTCCTAATACTATATGCACCTGGTGTGTGTGAATATGGATGTCCAGGAACTGCATGATACAGAAAGAGCGAATTTCAGCCCCATTTCATGGACATGGAAACTGATGTTCAGAGTTAATCAGCGTTTTCTATCTCTTAGTTTGGTGGTACAAGGTCATTTCCCTGGAGCCTGGCTGTGGGGATGGGGGATGGAGGAGGTTTGGTTACCTGACATTGGATTGCACAAATTATGCCCCAAATTATAATTTAGAAGAAAATTTAGAGTTTCCTCCCCTTTGTTTGTATGTTGGTGAATGAAGAGAGAGCAGATTACACGTGCATGGCTCCTCATTTTCCCAGAGATGAGCTGTTGGCTTTTCATGTTTTGGTGTCCTTTGGGCAGTAAGAAGTGGGGACAGGGCTGGACTCAGTGTATGGGACCTTAGGACCACTTTGTCTGCACCAGGCCTAGTCAGTTCTGCTTCCCTCCTTCCCATGTGTTTTCCCCAGGCGGCCTGTGCCTTGTATGAGATGCTGTCTGAGTCCCCGTGCCAGGACTCCATTCACGAACTCTTCCCACGGCTCTTGCTGGCTGTGCTGTGTCATCTCCACTGGGTGGTTGACAGATATCCTTCCCTGGAGGTTGTCTACACAGAGAACCAGAGCCCAGAGAAGGAGAGAAAGGTCTTCAACCCAGTTGGGTAAGCCTAAGCCCATGTGATGGGGGAATGGGACTGGTCAACTCCAGTTGCCCTGGGCAACTGGATGCTGATCCCCTAGGGATGCTAAGAAGGAGATGCTGTGGCTTCCACACTGATATTCTACATATTTATCAGTGTGGGTACTGCAGCATCACATGCTGGAATGTTCTCATGTATTTTCAAGCTTCTCTTTCCTTCTTTTCTTTCATGTGCTGTTCTCCTGATTCACTCAGTGGTTCACATCTATGTTCATAACTGTGCATGAGAAAAGTTTCAATTAGATGGAGAATGACAGGGCAAGACCTGAGTCATTCTCTACATGCGGTTATGGCCTTTTGAATCTGGGTGACCTCTGGCTGAGCTTTGTCACTTGCTGTACCTTCTTGTGCAACTCACTACTGCAGTTTTCTGCAGTAAAGTGGAGGTTGGGCTCCTAAATAAGTGGTTGTCTTAGTTCTTTCTAACGCTTCAGAGTATTTGATTCAAGTGCAGCCTTACATAAAAAGTAAAAACAAATAAAAGGAGTCAGAAGAGACATTCTGCTTGGGTGGCTGTGGAGGTGAAGACATATCCTAACCTTCCTATGCCTTGGACAGCAGAGTGTGAACACCATGGCTCTCCAATACTTCTGTCACCTCTTCTGTAAGACTCTGTGGTTAAGTGAGCACTGAGGTTGAAGGGCTGAGTAGGTGAGCCACCGGAGATGGGTTTCAGAGAGCTGGGGATTATCGGAGCAGGGAAGCAGAACCCACCTAGCTATCAGGGTAGGGAATTGTCTCCTGGCTTGCCAGCCCAAGGATGCAAACTAGGGCATAACACCTTATCCATCTGTCTCTTTCTTTTCCAAACCCATGATGACTGGCCTTCAGTTCTGCCTTGGAGTTGTTGAAGCTTCTGCTGACAGCTGCATTTGGTGGAGTGATGACCAGCACAGAAGATCAGAAATGCTGGGAACTTCTATGCAACCCTGTATCATACTACTTAGGGGCCATAGAATTAACAAGGTGGGGACCAATTCCCCAGCAAGCCTCATACCACTCTTCCCCCCTACTCCCAGTATTCCAGGGCCCAGCACTCAAATACAGCAGCCTTTATCCTTCCCTTCTTCATCCCAACCTCAGCACTCACATTTCCCCTGTTCTGTGCACAATGCACCTTTGCCCCATCCCCTCTCCCCACTACCCACCCCCCATCCAGCAACTCTTGAATTTCCCTCTCCAACCCCAGTGGCATTGTGAAGAACTGTGAGCCAGCCATTCTGCAGCAGATTCTGAACCATGTCAAGAACCTCCTCTGCAGCCTGGATAATCATCAGAAGATCCTGGCCAGGAGCATCTATGCAGAGGTGAAAGCCTGAGGAGAGGACCCCAGCCCCTGACATTCATTTCCTGCAGCTGAGGAACATTTAACCAAAATGTTAAATAACATGCCCCAGCAACCAGAAAGAATAAAACTGAGCCATCTAAAGTGGGGTTTCTCTGTCTGTAGCTCAAGCAGCCTGGTTAAAAAAGTCAGGGAAAGCCTGGGCAGGAGATCAGCAGCTCTAGTCCCCCAACGTCATCCTTGGATCCCAGCATCTGGCCTGAAATGCAGACTTTATGAGCATCATCTTCCCCGGCCTTAGTCTCTACACCATTTGTACAGATCTGAATCTGTTTGCAACTTATTACAGCCCTGCCTGCATGGGGGGGCCTGAGGAAGGGCTGAGGGAGATTGGGGTACCCAGTTTTTTTCTCCATCCACAGCTGTAATCTCCTTGTTCCCACAGCTCCTCTGTCATGAATCAGTGACTGAGACTCTGGGGCAGGACGTTGTAGACAATCTGTCCAGTTGGATCATGGAGCCCGACCTCGTCATCAAGGAAATTGGTCTTCGTGGGATCAGTAATTTAGCACTGCACCCAGGAAAAGTAAGAATGGGGAAACTCAGTGGGAACCAAGTGTAAGTCTTTGAACCATTTAATGTACTTCCCTTGGGTCTCTTAGTTACTCAGGGCTTAGTTCATTCCCCACCCCTCAGTCTAGGGCAGCAAAGCATCCAGTCTAGAGACTTACACAGCCTGGCCATCAGGCCTCCCACACACCCTGAGCACCAGGCTTCCAGGTCCTTGGCATATTCAGCCCCTGGATCCCCTGTGTCTATTTCTCTTAGGCACCATCTCTTTTCTCACATAAATTCTTGTCCCTGAAGTGTTGCATGATCTGTGGTGATCTGTGCCTTCTTCCAAATAGTCAGAAACTTTGAAGAGCCTGGTTCCCTTCTTGGAAGAACTCCTGAGGAATGAAGAGTGGCGAGTGAGGGTACAGGCGGTGAAGGCCCTACAGAACATCCCCCACCATGGGAAGAGAAAGGACATCAAGCTGGTCTTGGGTAGCATCACCAAGCAACTGCCTGCACTCGTCAGTGATGTATGGGCCTAAGTACCTGGGAGTAGTTGGGAACAATAGGGGCTGAAGCTGCAGATGAACTGTTCAAGCAGAATTAAAGATTCTGGGGCAGGGATATGGGACTGGGGTGGAAGGCTGAAATCACTGAGGGGCAGAAAAAAGGAGATGTGGTTACTTGAAGCAGTGCATTGGACAGGCCCCAAATTTATCTGCTATTACATACAGATGTGCCCAGCACACACTCATCCACTCCTCTCTTGTCACTAGTTCTCTGAGGGAGCCACTAAAGGAAGAAAAGTGATACTGATACAGAATTGGTTGTGACTCCCAGGATCTTCTCATGCAGACTTGAAGAGTGTGGAGAGAGCTCACGACTTCTAGCCTCCTTCCAAACACAGGGACCCTAGAACGCTAGGAGCCTGGTCTCAAGAACCCAGAGGTTCAGAAACCTGAACTTCCCAGACCAGTACCTGCTCTCTCATCATCTTATCCTCCTTACAGAACATAGAACTTCTGAGCTGATGGGATTTGCATGAGAGATGCTTGCTCACAGCGCTGCTCTTCTGGCATCCATAACTTTTTAGTTTTTGAACCTTGGATTTAAATTATTTTTGTGTCCCTTTCCTCATCTCTAAGAACCTGGACCCTCACTCCATGATAGCAGGGTCAACATCTGATTCATCTATATCTCAGCTACTTCTAAAGTACAACACATATAATTGACTTAACGAAGCCTAAAAATAATCTTTTCCCTTCATGCAAGGAATGAAAGGAGCTTAGAGTGCTTTAACTCTGATTACACCCTCCCATTTTATATGTTATTATTGTCTAATATTTTACTTTCACATTCTTTTATAATTCCCAAATTTGGTCTTTAACAGCATCAGCATTATTGGTATTTTATACAGTCAACACTTATTCAGATTTACCTCTATGTTTACATATGCCTTGTTGGACCTTTCCTTCTCATAGCTTTTGCCTCCCTTCTAGATTACCTTTTCTTTCTTTTTTGTTTTTTTAATTTATTTTTTTATTGATTATGGCATTACAGTTGTTCTATTCCCCCTTCATTCCCCTCTACCCTACCCCCCATCCCACCCATTGCCCCCCCCTCTTTAGTTTATGACCATGTGTCTCAAGTTCTTTAGATTCTGTATTTCCCATACTATTCTTGTCCCCTCATCTATTTTCTATCTACTGTCTATGCTACTTATTTTCTGTACCTTCTCCCCCCTTCTCCTTCTCCCACTCCCCTGTTGCTAACCTTCCTTGAGATCTATGGTTCATTTCTATGGTTCACTCCTGATCTAGCCGTCCTTTTAGTTTGTTTTTGTTTTAGGTGTGGTTGTTAATAACTGTGAGTTTGCTGTCCTTTCACTGTTCATGTTTTTTTAACTTCTTTTTTTTAGGTTAGTCCCTTTAACATTTCATATAATAAGGGCTTGGTGATGATGAACTCCTTGAATTTGATCTTATCTGAGAAGCACTTTATCTGTCCTTCCATTCTAAATGAAAGTTTTGCTGGATAGAGCAATCTTGGATGTAGGTCTTTGGATTTCATGACTTGGAATACCTCTTTCCAGCCCCTTCTTGCCTGTAAGGTCTCTTTTGAGATTAAGAGGGTAGAGGGAGGAGCACTAATAAGAGTTGGGAGTTGGAGCAATGGGAAAAAAGTAGGTAAAATTTACCTCATGAATTAAAAAAAGAATGAACAATGAGGAATGGAGTATGAGAAGGGACATATATAATATTAGGTTTAAATAGAAATTAACACTGAAATGGAGAACAAGGGGACAGTGACCAGAGGGGAGAGGGAAGGGAATTTAAGGGGAAAAAAGGGGAGGGATTTGGAGGAGCAAATAGGAAGGGCACAGGGACAAAAACTAAGGGGGTTGGAAATGGGAGGGAGGTGGTGAGCACGGGGCCAGGGAAGCTGGGATGGGAGAAATAGACAAAAAACTGTACTTGAAAAATAACTAAATAAAATTTTTGAAAAAGAACTTTTCCCCAAGCTACAAAAAAATAAATAAATAAATAAGAAGACATTAAAATAATATAAAATAAAGTGAGAGAAAAAAGGAAGAAAAAATAGTGAATAATTAATAAAAACATAGGAACCAAACTGGAGAGAAAGATCCACCACCGTACTATCAACCACATATGTGGAAAAATTAATATAGGTGGTATGGGAATAAGAGAGAAAAATAGAAAAGTCTAAGTGATGTTTAGAGGAATGGGAAGTATTTTTAAAATGATAGAGGGAGAGGCAGTACTAAGAGTGAGGAGCAAACACCAAGCTAAAGAAAAAGAAAAGAAAATTTGGGATGTAAGGAAAAAGAGAAAAAGGAGAATAAAAAAATACAAGGTCAGGGAGAAAGACAAGAAAAAGAAAAAACAGGCTAAGGAGGAAAAACTAAAATTTAACACACAAAAAAAGACTGGGAGAGGGTACCAGTAAAATTTAATATATGGAATACAGCATTAGTAAAGCTCTAGAGGTAAAATTGAAAAGACAATGCAACAACAACTACCCTACCCACAGCCAACTAGCAAAGATGGTTAAAGGTGGAGAGAGAACATAGGTATTTTAAGAGCAGGGCTGTGTAATGAACCTTGACAAGAAAATCGGTTTTGTGTGTCTGGCTGGCGGAGAAATAGTAAGAGTGCAGAATAGAAACAAGTTGTAGTGAGAAAGGAAACAAAATTTGAAATGAAAATATTGCAAGGGAAAAGGAAGGTAAAATGGGCCCAAATATGAGCATTAAAATTCATTATAGTATAAAATCTAGTGACTTAACATATACAGACTTGCTGGACAAAAAAGGAATGTCAAAAAGCTATTTGGGAAAGATAATATCACAAATCACGAAAAAGACTACAGTGGCTTTCATCTCAGTATCCTCTTATATGTCCCATTGTTTTTTCTTTCTGGGTCTGCCTCTGGTGATGTCAGATGTTGACCCCGTCTGACCTTAGGCAGCCTGTTCAATGCTTCCAGTGTCTGCTGTGCCTGGCTGTCTCCTTCACTTGTTAATGTGGTCACTCTGCACTCAGCAGTCAGATTTAAGCACCTGAGGGCTGAGCTGAATCCCTCCTGGGGTGGAGGCTATTGTTTCCCCTCAGGCTGCTGCTGCTGCTCCAAGGGGAGAGGTCTGCCTGAGCAGATGGCTGCTGCATATGGGGGTTGGCTCAGCATCGGGATCCTGGTAGCTACTCTCAGTTCTCTCCCCAAGTCCTCCATCCCTAGTCTCTCCTCAAGTCTCTCTAGTCCACTCTGCCCCTGCTTTGCCAGGGACCTACTGCCTCTGGCTGTCTCCCTCAGTTGTTAATCTGGTCACTCTGCACTCAGCTGTCAGGCTTAAGCACCACAGGCCCAGGGCAGATACTCTCCTGGGATCTGGGCTATCATAGGGGCTCAGGAGTGGTCTGCCTGAGAACAATGGCTACTGCTCTCTGGGGAATGACTCAGTGCACAGAACCTGGCATCTACTTTCTCAGTTCTCTCTTCCAAGCTTCAGTCCTTAATCTCTTCTCAGGCATCACCAGCCCACTCTGCCTGTGCCTTTGCCAGAGCCCAGGGTAAGTGGCTGGTAGTGCAAATTTGTGTGTTGGCCCTTTAAATGGCTCCTGGGTTTCCAGCTCCCCGCCCCCTCTGCAGCCCTGCCACTTTTTGCTGCTGGTTGTTATCTGTGTATTTTGGGACTCTAGTGCTCTAGGATGGGAATTCTAGGTTTTAGACCCCACTCTTGTCAGGGGGATTCAGCCAGCTGCTAAATTATCCCTCCTGTGCTGCCGACCTATGGGTGCCCAGCCAGCCCTCTTGAGTCTGTACCACACTCCTTCCCAAACGGGTTGTGCGAAAGCTGATTCTTCGATCTATATGAAGTTATGGGGCTTCTCTCTGGCTATTGCTCAGGTGTTTGTTCTGGGTGGTTTCTCCACACTTGAGTTGTAGTTCCAGATTGGCCCTGGGGGGAGGTCAGTGTGACTTCCATTCAGTCCTCCACTGTCTTCCATCCCATATATCTATTTTCACTTGTCTTAAGGTCTCTTTTGATTCTTCCTTGATCTCATTGTTAACCCATTCAATGTTTAGTGACCTGTTATTCAGGCTATGTGTGTCTGTGTGTTTCTCAGTTTTTTCTTGTAGTTGATTTCTAGTTTCATACCATTGTGGTCAGAGAAGATGCTTGACTTATGTTCAGCCTTCTTAAATGTACTGAGAGTGGTTTTGTGTCGTAATATGTGGTTTATCCTGGAAAATGTTTCATGTGCACTTGAAAAAATGTACAGTCTGCTGCTTTGGGGTGAAATGCTGTGACAATATTAATTGTCAATGGTGTTTAAAAATTTTCCACTATTACTCTATTAATGTCTATCTGTCCTTTATGTTCACCAAGATTTGCCTTACATAGTTAGGTGCCCCTATGGTGCACACATGAGTGTTTATAAGAGTTATGTCCTCTTGTTGGATTGATCCCTTTATCATTATGTAATGGTTTTTCTTTGTCTCTTTATTGTAGCCTTTGTTTAAAGTCCATTTTGTCTGATAGAAGTGTTGCTACTTCAGCTTTTTGTTTGACTCCACTTGCGTGAAACCTCTTTTCCATCTCTTTCAGTCTGTGTGTGTCTTTCCTTCTGAGGAGAGGCTGTTTTAGACAGCAGGTTTATGTGTCATCTTTTCTGATTCTTTCATCTAACCCGTACCTTTTGATTGGAGCACTTAATCCATTTACATTGAGAGTGTTTTCTTATAGGTATGTATTTATTGCCTTTTAATTTTTTCTAATTATGCTTTTTCCTTCCTTCTTCTGAAAGAAGTCTTTTTTAACACTTCTTCTAACACTAAATTGGTGGTAATGAGCTTTTTCTTGTCTGGGAAGCCTCTTATTTCTCCTTCAATTTTAAACGATAGCCTTGCTGGGTAGAGTAGTCTTGGTTTGTAGCTCCTAGATTTTCATCACTTTGAATATTTCTTGCCAGTCCCTTCTGGCCTGCAAAGTTTCTATTGATAAACCAGCTGACAATCATATGGGAGCTTCCTTGTAGATAACTCAGTGCTTTTCTCTTGCTGCTTCTAAGATTATCTCTTTGCACTGACTTGCTAAGAGGACACCTGGGTTTCTGGCAGGAGAATCCCTTCTCTCCCTAGTGGATAAAACCCCTGCCAATTTTGACAGCCCGATGTTAGGTGTGTTTCTCTTCCTGGCTCTGTTTCTCTGGGCTTGGGAGCTGCTAGAGGGTCGAGACCTCTCCCTCCTAAGAGTTTACCTTTATAGGTGAGCTATCCCTCTGCTTTCTCAAGTGCTGTGTGTGGGTGCAGGGGCCAGCCCTTTTAGCATCTCAGCCCTTGCTTTCAGTCTCAATGTGGCTTCTTCTGTAAATTGTTGGTTATAAGACTTCTAGTCAGCTAGTCTTTAACTGGTTATTCAAGTTGATGGTTTTGTAAATTAGTTGTAATTTCTGTTTGCCCCCGGAAGGAAGTGAGTGTAATTTCCCCCTACTCCACCACCATCTTAAATCCTGTTTTTGTTTTTGTTTTTTTCATTAAAGCACTACCATTGAATCACCTCTCAGTTTAGCTATAATGTGCCCTGTGCAAAAGATGATAAAGTGTATATTCCACTTGTTAAAATGTCTGTTTTTCAGATCCTACGAATTCAGACTGTCTAGTCCTCCCATGCCTGTTATTTAGTACTGTGCCTAGCTTATGATAGGTGCTCAATAAATATTTGTTCAATATAATATACTCGTGAAAGCGTACAAGGTGTGGATGTTTGTGACCATTATTAATATAGATTTAAACAATTATATCCAACTATAGATATATATATGTATTAATATATATAATTATTCCTCTATATGCAATTATTTATAGACTTAAAGCTAATATACATTTTTTAAAAGATTTTATTTATCTTTAGAGGGGAAAGGAAGGAGAGAGGGAGAGAAATATCAATGTATGGTTGCCTCTTGTGTGTCCCCTGCTGGGAACTGGCCTGCAACCCAGGCATGTGCCCTGACTGGGAATCGAACCGTGGTTGCTTGGTTCCCAGGCCCGCGCTCAATCCACTGAGCTATACCAGCCAGGGCCTAATATACATTTAAACAACTTTATTCACAGCATAAGTAGGATAATGTCTGTGTTTTGTTTTTAATTTGGCAGTCTTGAGGTAAATCCGCTAAGAGAATGCAGTTACACATTGTAAATATGGTTTGTGGCAGAATTGAAGTTATAATCTTGGTTTCCCTAGCACTGTGACTTAACAAACTGACTCATTAGCTCTGGGGGGCTAACGAGAATTCCTGAGACACACAAGTCCTGTTGCCTTTCCAGTATGCACACACAATGGCATCAGTGTCCTTTGGACATGAGGAATGACATGTGGGGAGTATGGAAGTCAGGTAAGGCAAGGCCAGAGGAAAACCAAAGTCTTTTCACCTCCATTTCCCTTTTCATGGCAGGAGAAGGACGAGGTGAGGATCTCAGCCACCTCTGCGCTGGGCCACATCCTAACTCAAGTCAGACAATTGAAGCCTGGATCTGCCCTCAGAAAACAGATGAACAGCTTGTTAGTCCCGCTGTTGCTCAGCTTGCAGGACAACAACACTGATGCAGTCAAGGTACTAGTGTCCTCTGTCCTGCCACGCTCAGGCTGATTCACCCCTTCCTGCTAGAGGATATAGCCCCTTCCCTTTAGTCCTCTTTCATGAGGCACGTCTGGGGTCTGCATTCACTGTCCACTTCTTTGGTCCCATCCTCTGGGCTGGATCTGAGCACTTTTACCCTCTCTCAGGTGCCATCACTCTTATCCTGATATGATTCTGCTCCCTGAAGCTGTTTATGTCTCTTCACATAAACAAGGCCCCATGTTTCACCTGATCCCAGCTACTAATCCCAACCAAAGCCCTAGGGGCCTACCTGCATAGTCTTCCACTTAGTCTATGGTCTGGCTCTGCGGGGTTATAGGAGTGAGGCTTTGAGGATTTCCTTGTTTCTGTCCCACAGGCCTGTAGAAGGGCCCTGACTGAATGGACCAAAGTGATGGGGTGGCGGCGACTGACAAGCATAGTCGAGGATACCAACTTCAGGGACCACTTCCACATGTTGGAAGAAACCTGCAAATACCTGGTGAGTGAGAGTCTCTGAGGAAGCCAGGTCACAGTATTCATATTAGGGACTCAGTGACAGGCTAAGTGAGTGAAGAGGAGAGAAGACATCATCTTTCCTTTCCTTGATTCTCATGATCATCAGCAAACTCTGACAACCCATGTTTGGGATGCCAGCCCCTGGTCCTCCATAGCATCCCAATCTTTGCCTTGAGAGTCTAAGGATGTCATGTAAAGGGAGTAGATGGCAGTGGGATAGAGGCTTCTGCTTAGAGGTGGCAGGAAAAGCTAGAGGCAGGAGTCCTCAGGGCTTTATATTAGTCATCAGGGTGCTGAAGATCTGTGGCTTCTGTGACTTCAGGAGTCTTTGTTGAAAAGTAAACATAGAAGAGCTAAGCAAGTTGGTTGGGGACTAACAAGAGTAATTCTAACATGATGAATTTGGGTTCCTTACATAGATAGAGCACTTTAGAGTTTACAAAGCACTTCCACATCCATTCTCCCATGGAAGCCTTGCAGTCAGGTAGGGATGGTCTGGCAGGTTTTATTTCAACTTTACAGATGAGAAACTGAAGCCAGTGTCAGGGCCAGTATTCAAACCTGGGTCTCCTGACTCCACATCAGTCATTTCCTCCCCTCTCATGTTGGTATTGGGGAGAATTCTCTTTATGAACTTTCTGCTGAGTCTGCTCTTTGGCTGGGGTGGGAGTGTCTGAGTGTGCAGGTTCCAATGATTTAAGCTGACTGAAGACAGAAAACAATGCTGCTTCTGGACAGGGTGAGAGAGGCATGGCTGCAAGCAGGTCTTTAGTAGAGTCCCTTCCCCAGTCATCACCAATCCTCTTTAACTCCGCAGGTGAGCACACGCAAAACTCAGTTCTTGGGGGACTTACTTCTCCAGAGCTTTGAGTTTTTGAAGAGCTGTCAGCCCTTCCTACGGGCAGCTGCTGTCACCCTCATAGGTAAGGTGGTCCCTCCTGTCAGTTCCTCCCTCCTCTGCAGCAGGAAAGCCCTCCTTGACTTTTTGCTAAAGGGTGAAGCCTGAACCATGGTATGATGAAGCTGGTCACATCCTTTTCCAGCTCTGACCTGTTTAGGGAGGTTGACCTTGAACTGTGTGTCAGAAAAGCCTGGGAAACTCTCTGCCATAATCCTGGCTGTGTGTGCATCTACCCATGAGGCATGCTGCTTTGTGAGAAATATATATATATATATATATATATATATACACATACACATACACATACACATACACACTTGGCAGGGGAAAACTGTCGCTTCAGCTTAAAACCCATTGATTTTCCCAAATAGTTTTGTTTTAAACTGTTTCACAGTGACAATATGCATCAATTTAGAAAGCATAAAATATTCAGATGGGCTGAAAGAAGACAATAAATAATGCTAGAACTTCCATTGTTTGGATTTGACCACTACTAGCATCCTCGAATTTTTTTAAAACAAAATATGCAACACACACAGCACTTTTAAAAACGTACAAACTTTGGGCCCTGGCAGAGTGGCTAAGTTGGTTGGAGCATTGTCTTGTGCACCAGAAGTTTGCAGGTTTGATTCCCAGTCAGGGCACATACCTGAGTTGTGGCTTTAATCTCAGGTCATGCTGCACACAAGGCAACCAATTGGTGTTCCTTATGCTGATGTCTGTCTGTCTCTCTCATTCTCTCAGATCAATAAACAAAGATTTCAGTGAGGATTCAAAAAACACAAACATTGCTACACACCTGTATCATGAACGCATGCATTACTCTTCAACTGAGTAATTTTAATTCTATTGCATAGATGCATTTATGAAACCAGCCCTTATTTTTGAATATTGGGACTGTGTCATCTTTTGTTTTCATAGGCAGGGACATAGTGGTTGACTGTCTGCATGTCATCGTGATAATTTTGTTAAGATAAATTTCTTAAAAGTGAAATTGCTGGGCCCAAAAGGTGTACACAATTCTAAGGACTTTGGTCCTTATCGACAAACTGCATTGTACAAAGTTAGATCATTTGTTATTGTCATCAGTTCTGTATGTGAGCATCCATTTCTCCAGACATTTGCCCACCCTGGGTGGTATGTTTTAAAAATTATTACTGGTTTGATGGGTAAAAACAAGAAGCTTGTTGTTTTGATGAATACTTTTCCTTATCAGCAGCAAGGTTAAATATTTTTTGCAGTACATATAGGCAATATGCATTTTATTTGTGCACATGAGTTGACTGTGCCCTCAACTCTCTATGGATGTGGGAATTCCCTGAAGGTTAACATCCTTGGCTCATGCTCCACTTGTCACCTGCTGACAATATTTTGCCTGGGTCACAAGTGTTCTTTCTCTAGGACACTGACATGTAAGGAGCAAGGCATCTCTTAGATACATTCCTTGCTAAAACTGGTTTACAGGTTTCCTTGTTCACTAGTGAGCCTGGGGCAAGGGCATGGCCCAAAGACCCGGGAACTCTGGAAGGACTTTATATCTCTTCTGTCCTTAGCATCAGTCGTTTTGAAGATTAACCTGAACTACATACATGAAGAAGATGTGCAGCTCATACAAAACTGTGAGTCTGGGTCTTTTTCTGTGGTTCTGGGTTACACCAGGAGGTGGGGCAAGAGAGGAAGGAGGAAGGGAGACTACCTTAAGGATCTGTGTTACTATTTTAAGTCAAGTTTCTTTTTACCAATATTATTTATATATACATACAAATATTTATATTATTATTTACCAATATTATTTCATATGCAAATATTATATATGAGGACTTCAGTGGACAGAAGTAAGAGGAAGGAAACAAATGATCCATCACTGGACTCATTGGATAAAAACCCTGCTAACAGAACGTTCCAGTCACTGCACCTTTATCACAGGCTCCAGGTGCTGACTGCAGTGCTGTGTGAGGCAGACAAGGTTGCTGCTTCCTGAAATACTTGCAGTGTTGTGTTCTTTTAACTGCATTAAAATGCTTTAAAACTAATCTAAATGTAGGATAAATTCATGAGTATAGTCTCATTACAAAAAAAAAGAGATTGATAAGTATATAAGCTGTGTAGTCCTATATTGTTCTGCTGCTTGCACATAGAATAAATATATGGTTTATATATGTGTGGTATAAAATATTACATGTATGTATATAAATGGTCTCTGCAACTTGCTTTTTGTCCCACTTAGTTGCTGCATACAGATCACCTTCAATCCCCTAACTCTTGATAGATGACTAAAGTTGTTTCCGAATTTTTGCTATTCAGACAAGCTACCATGAACACTCGTATATGCCCCCTTCTGCACAGGCTTAAGTGTTGCTTCAGACTGGATACAAAAGAGTAGACTTTCATCTTGCATATTGAGCTCAACAAAATTTAAAGTAAAACAACATTTTAATCTTCTCTTCTGTGTTGACATAAATTCCAGTCACTACCCCTCCCAACGTACAGGCTTTTGTTAGCCAATGTTTGAGTTCTCTTTTTCTAACCCATAATGTAGATGCTATGGTTATTTTCTTTTCTGAATGAGTCCAGTCTATTTACTAAGTGCAGTAAATAGACTCCTCCTATTCTACTGTGTGTGACCTTGGTCTCATTTCCTCCTGCTTCAATTTTGATAGTGTTCCATCAGTTTCCCTTATTTTGCATCTGATTTCCAATTTTCCATCGAAGTCCACTCTGTAAGAGCAAGTTCAAGTTCCTCCTTTCCTCAGCTACTCTGTTAATCTAATCTGGCCTTTATCAGCCCCCATTTTACACAAGCCTTTTAGATTCACAGAGTGTTACATGCTGACCATTCTTTCTGTACGCCTGACCATCCTAAGTACACCTTTTAGAAGTTCCTTTAGTGCTGCTGTCTTGGCAGTACACTCTCTTGGTTTTTGTTTGTTTGTAATAATTTCTTGGTACCCTCATTCTTGCAAGATAGCCTTGCTAGTGACACAATTCTAGACCAATTATTGTCTCTCAGCACTTTGACTATATTCCACTATTCTTTTCTGGCTTTCTTTGTTGCTCATTAGAAGCCTTCTGTCTTTTGTAACACTTCTAGGTAATCTCTAGTTTTCCTTGGGCTGTTTAAGATTTTCCTTTTCTTTTTTAACAGTGTTCTTTCAAAGTACAGTGCAGAGCATTTGAGTACCCAAGGTGCCCAAACTTCACATTCAACAAGTAGAAACTCACGGCCAGCTTGTTTTTTCTATTTCCCTACCTACACCCTTCTCCCTGCCTGAACTATTCTGAATCAATTCTCAGAGTTCATATCGTTTCATTTATAAATATTTTAGTACATATTTATTTCTAAATCATACTCTTTTTAACAGTAAAACGTTGAAGAAATCATAATTGGGCCTGCTATGGAGTAGCATGCAAATTAGGCATGATTTTTTTTACATAAAAATGTCCCAGGAATTTGTAGACCATTTGGGACCTAAGGCCACTCACCCAGACCCCTGAGGCTATCAGTGATTCTCTTCTGCCTCTACAGTTAGGGGTACTCCAGAGAAGCATCTGCTAGTCCTAATATGCAAGCCTCCTAATTTCGGAAGCTGGGTCATTTGTCCAGGGTCACAGAAGAGATTTAATGGAAGAACTAGAACTGGAATTTCTAATTCAGTGATCTTTCTGCTAACCTGTGCTTCAATATTCTTTAATCTTGCCTGAGTTCTGAGAAAGAGGTAGGGAATGGGAGTGGGGGCTGTGGAGGAGAAGAACAGCATAGCAGCTATTCCTCCATCTATCAGAAGAGTTTTATCTCACCTTTAACACCCCTTTGTTCCCTTCCATCCCTGAACAGCCATACCTGTGTTGTGTATAGGACCTACTTCTGCTGACTCCCCCCCATTGCTCTGTTAGTTAATTTTGTTTCTTTGTTGTTTTTTAACTTACTGTTGTTCAGTTACAGTTGTCCTGCCTTTCTCCCCATTGCTCTCCCCTGCCCTGTCCCCACCTGCTCCCATAGTCAGTCCCCACCCCAGTGTCCATACCCATGTGTCTTCTATTTGTTTTCCATTGCTTGCTTCTTCCCCTTCTTCCACCCATCATCCCTGTCTCCCTCTCCCCTCTGGTCATGCCAGTTTGTTCTTTACTTTGAAGTTTCTGGCTCTATTTTGCTTTCTTGCTTGTTTTGTTGATCAGGTTGACTTATTGGTGATATCATATGGTATTTGTCTTTTGTCACCTGTCTAACTCCCCTTAGCATAATGCTCTCCAGTACCACCCATGGTGCTTCGAAAAGTAGGAGTTCCTTCTTTCTGCTCTGTAGTGTTCCATTGTGTAAATGAGTTCTTTGGTCCACTCATTTACTGACAGGCACATAGGCTGATTCCAGCATTTGGTTATTGTAAATTTTGTTCTGATGAACATTGGGATGCACAGGTTCTTTTGGATTGGTGATTCAGGATTCTTAGGGTACAGTCCCAGCAAAGGGATCACTGGATCAAAAGGCAGTTCCATTTTTAGTTTTCTGAGCAAATTCCATACTGTTTTCCACAGTGGCTGCACCAGCCTGCATTCCCACCAACAATGCACTAGGATTCCCTTTTCTCCACAACCTCACCAGCACTTGTTGATTTGTAATGATGGCCATTCTCACCAGTGTGAAGGGGTATCTCATTGTGGTTGTATTTGCATCTCTCTGATGGCTGGTGATGTTGAGCATTTTTTCATGTGTTTATGGACCCTCTGTATGTCCTCCTTGGAGAAGTATCTGTTTAGGTCCTTAGCTCATTTTTAAATTGGATTGTTTGTGTTCCTGTTACAGAACAGAGGTCCAAAGGGGGTGGCAATATTTGGCCCTACCACGGATGCCAAAAACTGTTACAGAACAACAGGGCCCACCCTATACTCAAGGACGGTATACTAATACTGTCTGGACCACCTAGTGGGCTTGTCTGTCTGCCAGAGGAAAGACATCTCTCAATGCCAGAGATTTGTGAAAAGGAAAGGAAAGGTTTATTTAAAGCTATGCAGACTTAAAGTAGTGACCCAATGTCCTCATTAAAATGTCAAAGTCCTTTAGGACAACCACAGACACCCACCGTGCTTCCTTCTCCCCCTGCCCTAATTCGGGGCATCCTAACTCAGGAAGAGAAGCACACATCCGTCTTTCAGGCTGCTGGCACTGCCAGCTGTGTGGCCGTCCAGGCAGGATCTCTAATTACTCCAAAGTCATGTGGCACCTTCTCATGGTCCACTGGCAAGAGTCTTTCACCCTTCTTCCAGGCAATGTCTCTCCTGCTTCCCAGGTCCCGCAGCCAAAGGGAGCATCCCACAGCCACATGGTCCTCTTCTACCACAGCTGCAGGGGTCTGCACTCTGGTCAAAACCTCATGGTTCTTGCCTTCACATGGCTGTGGAGAGGGTAAGGTAAGGTCACCACTCTGGCAAAGCTGAGTGGTGTTTCTCTGCAAAAGCTGTATGGTGTTTCTCTCTACCCCCAGCTACGGGGTTCCCCACTCTGTCCAAAAGCATGTGGCTCTCTCTCTGCACGGCCACGGCCGCACAGTTCCCTCTCCTCTTCTCATATGGCTGGGGGAGTCCCCACTCTGGCAAAGCTGCATGGTACTCCTTAAATGGCTGCTGTGTCTGGGTTTTAAATCCCCATGCCAGTCCTCCTTTGCAGACCCATTTCTGACTCCTCCTACAATCGGCTACACTTGCCAGCATTCCTGTATGATTCCAAGTTTACTGGGCTGCCATCGTGAGTCTGGGCAGGCGTGGCCCCATGTCGTGGAGCCAGTCATCTCCAAGCTCTCATGCAGGCACTGTAACTCAGGGGACCTGCACCCAGTTACATCTTGGGTGGAAGTCACTTCCATCCCTCTGGCTCCGAGCATGGCCACAGCTATTGAACATATCTACGAAACCAGCTAAAGGTTATAGATATGCTAAATGACCATTCTACAGGTTATCTGCAAAGCCTTTGCTGTACAAAACAGCTCTCCATGGCCCTGCTTCATTTGTTTCTTCCACCAACTGAAACCAGTGGGGGATAAGGGTGAGGACATCTTAAAATTTCCTGGACAACTTGAGTTCTGGACCCCATTCCAAATCTCTTTTGGGGGCCCCCCCTCTTGGCTGCGCCCTGTTACATTCCTGGTGAGAGGAGTCATGTGAGTTCTTTATTTTGGAGATCAAACCCTAGTCCAATGTAACATTGGCAAATACATTTTCCTGTACAGTTGGCTCCCTTTCCATTTTTGTTGATGTTTTCTTTACCTGTGCAGAAGCTTTGTACTTTGATGTAGTCTCATTTCCTTTCTTCTTTCCTTTATATCCCTTGTCCTAGGAGACGTATTGGTGAAAATATTGCTGCGTGGGATATCTGAGATTTTCCTGCCTATGGTTTCTTCTAGGATTTTTATGATGTCATGCCTTATGTTTAAGTCTTTGATCCATCTTGAATTTATTTTGGTGTATGGTGTAAGTTGGAGGTCTAGTTTCACTTTTTGCATGAAGCTATCCAGTTTTCCCAACACCATTTGTTGAAAAGGCTATTTTTACTCCATTGTATGTTCCTTCCCCTTTGTTAAATATTAACTGACCATACTGACATGAGTTTTTGGGGGAGCTCTCTGTTCTGTTCTATTTTTCTGTGTCTTTTCTTTTTCTTTTTTTTACCATTCTTTGTTGGCTTATTATCATAATTGTTTTTAATATAATTATTTTTTATATTAATTGTTGTTCAAGTACAGTTTTCTGCCTTTTACTCTCTTAAACCAGTATCAAACTTTTGATTATAGTGGCCTTGTAATATACTTTGATGTCAGATATTGTGATCCCAACCACTTCTTTCTTTGAGAAAGAATGTTCTTCTTTCACAGAATTGCTGAGACTATTTGGGGTCATTTATGGTTTCGTATGTTTTTAAAATATGTCTTCTGTATCTGTAAAATTTGTCATTGGTATTTTGATAGGAATTGCATGAAAATTTGGTTTCTAATACTGAAAACCTACTTCATGCTATGCACTGGGATACTGCAGTGGCCAACACTGGTGACGTTGCCCTCATGTAGCTGACATTCCAGTGGGGAAGGAAGGAGTAAGCCCTCCACAAGTACAGACATGTTACATAAGCACTATGGAGAGCACTGTCTCCATAAGGCAAGAGAGCAGGAAGGGCCAGAGGAGGTCTGGGTGCCTCTTTGCTAGGGGACATTAATGAGGGAGTGAACCATATGACTATCTGAGGAAAAAGCACTTGACAGGTCTCAACAAATAGTCACTGAGTGATTTAATAGTAATCGTTTATTCACAGTGAATAATCACAAGCAAACTAATTACTCACTACTAAGGGTTTCATCAAAAACTTATGATAGAATGATGTGATTGGATATTATGTTGTATGTCGGGATATTTTATGGGAAGAAATAATGGTAATCCCATTTTTGTAAAACAATGTTTCTCGGTTAGATATTTCAGAAATACTACAAGGATAGGTATGAGAATATTAATGTTTATTCTGGGAGCAAGTGCTTTTACTTCCTTTTCAAAAAACAATTTGTATTTACACGTTTTCTAAAATAAAGCAATATTAATTTTGCAGTGATACAAGTCTTCTAAATGAAGTTATAGTATAATGTGGCATGCCAGGTGGGTGGAGAATAAGGGGGTTTGGTTAAACAGTCCTCGGAGAGTGAGAATCTGAGTCACCTCCTTTCTGGTTTCAGCTATTGAAAGTCTGAGGAATGACCCTCAGGATGACATACAGGACGGTGTCAGCGCTATTGCGGCACACATCAACAATTCAAATCACCAAGCTACAAGAAAGAAGAACCTCTTTAAAAAAAAAAAAAAAAGGTGGCTCCCAGGCCTCCTAAGGTCCATATGCCAAGGGAGGGTAAAATACTGCAGTTAGGAGCCATAGAACTCCCCCTCCTGGACATGCGGGTGGCACACCAATCAGTGCCCTGATCACGCGCCCGCCATGCACCCCCCGCCCAATCGCAGGCTAGAGCACGCTTTGAAGCCACCTATCCACTGCACTTCCTCCACTGCCCTCCTAATAAAATTTGCAGGTTGATCAGAATCTTTTGTCTTGCTGCCATTCTTCGCGCCTCTTGTCCCCCCAACTCATTTGTTCTAGGTAGGTGGTCGAGCCCCAGTTGATTGCTCCGCGGGCCGGAGCAAGTGGCGCCCAACGTGGGGGCCTGATAGCCGCCGGAACAAAGCGCTGTCCCCGCCAGTGACTTCCCCCGCACAGATTGGATCGCGGCGACTACTCGACCGCGAGACAGATCCAGGAGCCCCTCCCCTCGACGGCGAACTCGGCCAGGTAAGGCCCCCAATCATGGGACAAGCATGTTCACAAAGTGATATTTTTATAAGTCAATTAAAGCAAACTCTCAAGGTGCGAGGAACTCGAGTTAAGAAAAAGGATTTAGTTTTATTTTTTGACTTTATATTCAAAATGTGCCCCTGGTTCCCCCAAGAGGGGACGATTGACCCGCAGTGTTGGAACTGGGTCGGAGATTACCTTAATGACTATTATCGAGTCTCTGGCCCCCAGACTGTCCCTATTACCATCTTCAGTTATTTTAATCTTATTAAAGAAATCTTAGTCACTCATGGGCATTCTCTGGATGTCCAGAGCCTCTGTAAAGAGGGAAAAGAAGTTCTAAAAAATCAATTCCGGTTCCCCTCGAGGGCCCCTTCAGCCCAAAATCTCTGTAAAGAGGGACAAGAAATTTCAAAAAATCAATCTCAGCCCCCTTCGAGGGCCCCCTCAATTTGCCCCTCAATTTCTATTAACATAGAGGAAGAGATTAAAAAAAAAAACCCCTAACCCTTCCCGTAATTCCTCAAATAACCATGTCGACAAATTAAACCCAGCAGAAGAGGCCGAACTCGAAAAAGAGGCAGCTTCTTACAATAACCTTGACTGGCCTCCTCTTTCTCCTGCCCCCTTACTTAAAGATCTCCCAGCTTTTCGGCCGCCCCCCTATGCACCCTCAAACCTACCGCCCGTGGCCACCCGTATTCTGGCCCCCATTCTAAACAACCCCGAGCCACCAACAATCCACCAAAAACCCCTTCTCCAAAAAATCTCCATTCAAGAAGCCTTAATTCTCATTCGAGAAATCAAGGCCGTGGCTAAAAAATTCACTGATTTAACCATATCCACCCCCCACTGAATTACTAGCTTTCCCCAAACTGCGGGGAGTAGACCTAGATACCCAGACTGCTGACATTTTAATAGCCACACATCAAGCTCTTAACATATCTAACCCTCACCTAGCCAAGGATTGCTGGTTATGTATGAGCCTAGGCACCCCCATGCCTTTAGCTATTCCTGTCAATATATCCACCCTTAATAAATCACAGCTACAATGTAACCCTAGTTTACCTTTTAGAGTCCAACCTACAATATTTCCACCCTCCCCGTGCTTACAAGGCATAGCTCAAAATAATAGCTTTGACATTCCCGTCGGCTTTATAGAATTTACTAGTTGTAGCAGCATAACCAATTATAGTAACCCCCTTTGCCCAGGTCATGGACAAATATTCGTTTGTGGAAATAACCTGGCCTTTTCAGCCTTGCCCGCTAACTGGACCAGGCTATGTGTCTTGGCTACCTTACTACCAGATATAGATGTTCTCCCTGGAGACGAGCCTGTCCCATCCCCCTTCATCCGTTACAGGTATATCGGGGGACCCCTGTTGACTGCCTTGCGGGCCGAGGCAACTGGCGCCCAACGTGGGGCCCCGCTGATCGCCTGTGCGGACCGCTGTCCCCTTCGATCGCAGCGTTTCGCCCGGCTCACCACGACTACTCGACCGTGCGCCGGCATTCCCTGACGACCCCCGTTCCCCGACAGCGGCATTTCAAAGGTAAGACCCAGCCATGGGACAGGCATGCTCACAACATGACTTGTTCGTTGCTCAATTAAAAGAGTCTCTCAAGGTGCGCAAGATAAGAGTTCGTAAAAAAGATTTGAATTCCTTTTTCACTTTCGTTTTTAAAATCTGCCCATGGTTTCCTCAGGAGGGTAGCATTGACTCCCGCGTCTGGCGCCGTGTAGGCGACTGTCTAAATGACACACTATCACCAGCTAGAAATGAATGAACCTGGCGCTGACTTGCAGCGTTTTCTCCGAGAATGTCCCCGCGCATAAACTCCCTTTTACACCCCCACCTCCTACGGGAACAGTATAACTCTTGGCATTATACTTTACATATGAATTGTAATGGATACCGCTAGGTGCAGAGCAAAGCATCGCAAGGAGAAGCTACCCCGAAGGTGGCCCTGCCATGTCTCCTGAGGGGCAAGTCTGCTTGCATAGAAGTCAGCGCCCCAACCCTCTCCTCCGAAAAGGGCGCTTCAGAGCTCAGGACGAGCTCCGGAGGAGCCAGACCTCTGCCTCCCCTAGCCGGTTAATGTCCACTCCTCACCTTAAAAATAAAAATAAGGGAGGAGATGTTGGGGGCTGGGATAAGCCTGAAACAGGCTGATACAATCCGACCTGAAGGTTGCGCCTGAATAACAGGATGCTGCGGTTAGGAGCCATAGAACTCCCCCTCCTGGACATGCGGGTGGCACACCAATCAGTGCCCTGATCACGCGCCCGCCATGCACCCCCCGCCTAATCGCAGGCTAGGGCACGCTTTGAAGCCACCTATCCACTGCACTTCCTCCACTGCCCTCCTCTATATAACTCCCTCCATTTTGAAATAAAATTTGCAGCTTGATCAGAATCTTTTGTCTTGCTGCCATTCTTCGCACCTCTTGTCCCCCCAACTCATTTGTTCTAGGTAGGTGGTCGAGCCCCAGTTGATTGCTCCGCGGGCCGGAGCAAAATACCCTATGGTCCTAAAAAGTCCAAAAGGCCCCTTAGAATCAGGACCTGTCTACCTTTCCCAGTTTGTTACCCTGATGTCAGCTCTTGACTCCACTGGAGTCTCTCCCACCTTTTGTCTGACTGGATGGCAACCCAAATAGGTACTTCTTCTTTTAAATATATAGTATGTTCCTTTTATTTATCTCCCCTAGGTTACTGATTGTTGGCAATAAGCATACCATTTATAAATAAAATTTGTTTTAACCTAAAACAAGGTGGCTTCCACCCTAGTTTGGGGCGGGGGGGCTAGGGAATAAACCTGAGTGACGGCAACTGCTGTGGACACATTTCCTTGAATCTTCAGGCAAAGTGTCAAAGGACAAATGGGAGGAGTAGGGTGGTTGAATCACACAGCACCTAACTTTCCATCTTTTCTCCCCACCTCTGCAAAGCTTGCACAGAATCTCCAGGCCTCCTGACACATTTCCATGGAATAATCAGGTTTTGGTTTAGAGTCCGAAAGGCGGGCATACAGCGAAACAGCACTAACCCTAACCCTCTGTCACTCAAATAGGCACATCGGATTGCCACGAAATGACAGTATTGTTGAGATGACTTTGAATCCATTTTATTTTTAAAACTCATTCTAAAACTAGATTTGAACCCTGGATGCCTCTACCGCAGAACAGTTATTACTGACCAGTTCTTTATACTGTACGACTCCATGCTCTGTGCCTCACTTCCCTCTGCTGCAGTTTCATCTACAAAATGGTATTAACTCTAATACCCCCTGTGGTATTGTCCACCAATATCCATTCTCCCATTTTCCTTTTCTAAAAACTTCTCAGAGTCACCATTTTCTGGTGACTCTGGTGGGATGACCTCAGTACTCTTCAGAAAGTCTGAGTATTTGGTAGGTGACTCATTAGCATGGTAATTCTGAGCTTATAATTGCAGTGTCTCCCATCAGGGTGGCCTATTCCTCAGTTAATGACAACCGTGTGCAGGAGTGTCAGCTTTGTTCAGGATGGCCCTCATTGCTGTGGATATCAGGTAGCATAAACGTCGGTGAAAGGTGCGGCTGGGATTGTAAACAAACAAGCTCGCAGAATATCTACTGGTAACTCATGGAGCCAAAATGACCTTCCGGAATGTCCCGCTGAAATCTGTCCAGACTTCGTTCGGCACCCTTCAGGACACTATTGGCATAAATGTGAGAGCAAGAGATGTCCCTCCCTCCACACTGATCTCTCGAGTCTTTGTGCTACAAAGCACCTTGCATGAAATTACAATGAAGAAAGAATACAGAGCAGAGCAGAGCAGTGCAGCATAATGGTGCTGGGCCCACAACAAAATTTATCAGGCAATCTGACTAAGTGGATCAAAAAGCCTGACCTCATTCTGAAAGAAATCTGGCTGCATGGGATCAGTAACCTGGCACTGCAACTCAGGAAAAGTAAGAATGGGGGGACCCAGAGGGTACTGAGAATCAGTCTCAGAGCCATAAGTGTCACTTGCCTTGGGTCTCTTAGTTCCCCAAGGCTTAGTTTATTTCCCATACCTTCACTCTTGGGCAGTATAACTTTCAGTCTGTAGACGTACATGACCTGGATATCGGGCCTCCCAAAGTCCTTTAGAACCAGCCTTCCACATAACCTAGTGGCAATGTATCCCAGGGGGCAATGTAACCAAGAGGATCAAGGAGCCCAATCTTGAAGTACCATGGCTCAGTCCCTCCCTCAGCTGCTTTAATTCACTCACCCCGAAAACATAGGCTTATGCTAAATTTTCTCTGTGGTCCCACAGAGCCCAAGCATTGTAATTCTGAGCTCTAAACTGCAGCGCCTTCCTTCTGTGTGGCCGATGCCTCGGGTAATGACAACCATGTGCAGGAGGGCAGGCACTGTTCAGGATGCACCCTGATTGTCTGGGCTGTCAGGGGGCATAGACACTTGTGAAAGGTGAGGCTGAGGTTGCAAACAAGCAAGCTCACGGAATATCTACCAATCATCTCTTGACCCATAATGTCTCTCTGCAATGACCCTTTAGACCAATCCAGAATTAAGCTGACTCCCTTCTATACAGTAAGGAGCACAGTGTAAAAGCAAGAGACATCCCTCACTCCACAGAGAGCCATGCTAGTACTTTGCCCTACAAATTATCTTGTATGAAATTGTAAGAAGAAAACACTCTGAACAGAATGATGCAGCAGAAGGGTGCAGGGCGCATGACCCAGAGTGGAAGGACAGAAGGAAGAAGCCATTACTCATTCTATAGGGCAAGACTTTGCAGGAAATCTAATTAAGTAGATCAAAGAGCCCTATGTCATCATGAAGAGAATCGGGCTCAGTGGTTTCAGTAACCTGGCACTGCTACCCAAAAAATCACTAGTGAGGGGACCTAACAGGAATCAAGGGTCAGTGTCCATTTCATGTGCCTCCCTTGGGTCTCTTAGTTACCCAGGGCTTAGCTCTGTGTTCATAAGCTGAATGTAAGAGTCCTTGACTGCAGAGCATCGCATGTGAATTGATGTATCTTCTGGGAAAGGAAACAAAGACTGATAGAGGGTAAGCAACTTGTCCAAGTTCACTGCTAACCTACAGCAAGGCCAGAACTGAAATACAGGTTGTAAGACCTGGCCCTGGGTCTGGCAAAAGAGCATCCTACTGAGTTACCTCTCTCAGCACCAATGAGGAGAAGAGAAACTTGGGGATCAGCAGACTTGCTGTGCCAAAGATTGCTGCACCCCAGCTGAGTCTCATAAACCCACAAAAGTGAGAGAGAAAGGAACTTCAGGAATCATGCAGTTTAGTCTCACAGGTAACAGCTAAAGAAACTCTGTCTTAGAGAAGAAAAGTGAGTTGCTCAAGGTCACACAGCTAATCAGTGGTGCTGTGAACTGCTCTGCCTGGTCTCAGGAGTTGTGACAGCTAAGGATGAGTGAGCAACCTCCAGAATGTGAGCCACAAGGAGACTTTACACTTGTACTAACCAGGTCTAACAAATACTTTTCTGTGACTTCACTGGCTTCTACTATTTCATCCCCAAAGTTATAGTACTTTTTGATGCTTGTTGCCACCAGGGGACAGTTGATCCCCACCCACCCAACCCGGGGTTTTAATTCCTTTGCATGCCCTCTTCTTGGCTTCTATCTGACCCTGGCAGCAGCTCTTCAAAGACACTCATTATGATATTGAAACAGATAGAGGGATGAGAATGAAGGACAAGCCTCGAGTGCCTTCTCGGTTTGAAACTTAGACTGCGCTTGAGAGCACTTTGTGCTCTAAGAGAAGAGGGAGGTGGTATCAAAGGAAAGAGTTTCTGCCCAAACAGGTCAGGGCAGGGCCATTGGCAGCTTCAGTTAGTTCTACTGGACAGGCCAGTGGCAGTTGGCAGTTGGCAGTTAGTTCTGAACCTGAGCTGAGGATGCTGGGATGGATTTTCAAGTGGTCTTTAAATAATGAGCCTAGTTGGTGCTCAGGGGAGAATAGCAGGGAGAAGGAATATTCAAAAGTAATGCCATCACCTCTTCCTGGTTTTGGGCTTCCATATGCTTCCCAAACACTTTAGCCAAAATGCTAAGCAACCGAACTTTCCATCTCTTCCCCGGTTTTTTACAGTAGAGGTTCTTGCTGATAAAGCAGTAACTGACAAGTGGGAAAGATAAAGGGTTATAAAAACTGTCCTAGCTATTCCACAAAAAGCTTTGTTGGAATTTGGTTATGATCTCTGAATCTTAGCTAGGTGTGTAGGCAAGGGTCAGTGACCTTGCTAACTTATTGGCTCAAG